TCGCGGATTCAATCTTTCTTTCGGAGACTGGGTTGAGGCCTAACTTGGGAATTTGATGTCACTCTTTTCAAGTAGTGAGTCCGACTCACTTACACACTGAGGCGTGGTTTGACACCAGACCAGATGCTCTATTCTACACTAGTTTCTTTTATGTGTAGGTACAACTGAATGTAGTGGGGGACTGAGGGTCTTACCGTCTTCAAGGAAGCAAATGACGAACCTGACGAGTCTGAGCCCGACGAGAAGAACATTTCTAGTCATCCTATTTGAAGATGGCGACCATTGAAATAAAGGCTAAGGATCTCACCTCTTGCTTCATTTTGGGGGCGTCAAATGTACTCTTTTTCCCTTCATTAGGATTTTTTCCCATTGGGTTTTTTCCTAATGAAGGTTTTTAATGAGGCATCTCCCCAACATTGAAAAGGGCGGGGATCTTCTAGTCTCAGAGAAGAGCAACTGACTTGGACTACTCCCTCTTAGCCGAGTCTACTACTCGACTAAGGGAGTGGGGGACTCGTGATGGAGTGATGGGATTAGGCCCGGAACCTAATCAGCCCAAGCCCCGAACTTGGACCCGTGGATCCAAGTCCACAACCTGGAGCCTGTCTGCCAGCCCAGCGGGGAGCCTGCCAGTCCGGCTGACCTCCCAACCCGGAAGAGTAACGGTCAAACAATTAATGCACTATTAATTATGTATTTAATTCTGTATTAATGTTGTAATTAATTAGTCATTATTATCGGTAGCGGTTACGATTTGTATACGCCTATAAAAGGCGGGTTGTAACTCAGATTATGGGAAGCGAATTCTATATGCTTTTTCTGGCTAACTTTCCATATTCGTACTTTCCTAATTCCTGCTTGAGTGTCGTACGTAGCTTTCCTAAAAGCTTACGAGCGTCCTATTTTGGACCAACATTTGTTTATGGATATTGTATGTGTGAATGATATTCGAGACGCCTTGTATAATATGGATGTGTTAGACTGCGGTTGACTATTCGTATTGTATGACGAATTGTTGACGTGTTCGGGTAGGTCCAGGGCGTGATATAATTCATCCCTTCTTGTTCATACCAGAAATTGAGAAATCCCAACAAAAGTTCCCTATAAGACCCTCTCTAGTAGCTTTGTCCTGCTTACTCGAGTTACAAGGAGATATTCTGACTTACTTATTTGGCTTAAATGGACATTACCAAATGTTATTTTTCTTTAAAAACTCAGCAGGATTAACCATATCATTTCAACCGAAAAGAAAAGTTTGCAAACAAGCCCTAGTTCAAAGCCTAAATGGATTGGATGCCTCACAGAGTGAAACTAAAATCCTCAATCTAGGAGCTACAGATAACGACATAAATATTACGGAGTACTACAATAGTTAAACAACTGCATACCGTAGAAATAAACACTATAAGAAGATAAACCTAGTGTATAAAAGAAGACTGGGAAAAATAATACAAGGCCAAATACCAATTCATGCATGAATAAATTGGCCAGAATGAAACATGAAGATAAACCAAGTGTGTAAAAGAAGTAAAAACAAACACTGATACAAATAGACTTACCAAGATGGACTTAACGGGTTTGGGGTATTGGGAATTCAATAGCCGGGTCTTAAGGGCCAGGATTTGATTACTCTTCTGTGGGTTTTTTGGGATCTCAAAGGAGGTGGGTACTTGGGTATAGAGATGGGGGTTGTGGAGGCGGTGCGTTGCGGTGGTGGGTCGCCGGGAAACTACCGCGACAAAGTGGTGGGGAGACTGAAGAAAAAGACGAATCCAACTACAATTACGCCACTCGTGTTGGACTCGGAATTGAAGAAAAGCGATGACAAAAAATATCTACGTCAAATTAGGGATTTGGGAAAGGAGAGACAAACGAAAAGGGAAATGAGAAAAGAATTAAGAGAGATGAGGAGAGGCGATGGTGAGACGGTGATTTTTTGGGGAAGAAGGGGTAACTTTTTTGAGTTTATATAGTGTGTATAGATGTGTGTATAATAGTGTGTACAAAGAGCAAAATTGGTGGATAAAAATGACTAATCTATCTCTCGTTGTCAAAAGAGCACACATCGTAATTCGTAACGGGCTTTATATACTACAATACATACGTATAATATACATATAATGTATATATATAACGTTTCTTAAAAACTATGGGTTTGTTTACTAACACAGATATTTTTCAGTTTTCTATTTCTGTTTTCCGTTCTCGAATTTTCTGTTTTCACTTTCCTGTTTTTATATATTCAATTTTCTGTTTTCACTTTTTAGTTTTCCATTTTCAAATCTGAAAACATGTTTTCCATTTTCTATGCTATGTTGACTAACGGTTCCGGGTCCGATGAAAAAACAAAAACAAAAGACCCGGGCCCAACCCGAACCGCCCGACCCGCCCAAACGGGCTAAAAGCCCGGAACCGGCCAACCGGTCCGGGTCCGGTCCGGGCCCGCACAGTAGCGGGCCGGTTCGGTTCCGGGCCGGTTCGGCCCGGCCCAGTCCATCCCTAGTGTAAAGTGTTGTTAAAAAAGTGTCCTACAATTTATGTTAAATTGTTTAAACAAACGGCGTAAAATGTTTACTTCCCCACACTTTATACGCAAAATGTTTACTTTACAACGTAACAAACGATCCTAATGGAGAAGATTTGCAACGTTTTAATTTATTTTAACAACGCTGCTCAAACCTTTTCCCATGTGTATACACCACCAACTAGTAACCAATTTTTTTATAGAAGTTGTTAATATAGCCGGTGCTTTTAATGAATTTTGTCAATCTACTTATGTTCATTATTTTTGTGATTACATAAAAGATTTTGTTTTAAAATATTATGCTTATATTCCGCCTATATATTCTATGTTTTATGTCTTGATCCTCGTTTCAAACTTTCAAATTATCAAACATTTTTAGAGTACTACTATACTGCTTTCTACGGTCCGTTCCCTATGCACGACGAAACACCTATAGATCTCCAAGCCCAATTCAACGAGGTTAGTAATCTATTTTTTGCTTTATTTAATGTGTTTCATGCACAATATGGTAACGTACCCGCTCACCCGACACCGAGTGCTTCTTCATCTAAAGGAAAAAGTTTTTTAAAATTAATAATATCTAGTCTTTTGAAAAAAAGTAAATCAACTCATGCCGTTGCACAAAGCTCGATTAACGAGTTATTTTTGTATCTAACATTTCCTGTTGAGTATAATGAAGCGGACGAATTTGATATTCTCCAATGGTGGACTGTGGAAGAGCCCCGAAGGGATGTTTCCGGTTTTATAAAAAATGACCAAACAAGTGTTGTCGATGCCGGTTTGAACTGTAACCATGGAACAAGAATTTAGCGAAGTGGTTGGAAAAATTGGACGTAGAATTTAGCGAAGTCGGGAACATTTTGACTGACTATAGAACGAGGTTGAGCATTTCATCTCTTGAGACACTCGTTTGCTTTCATGATTGGTCGAAGGCCCGCTACAGAACTCAAGAAGTCAACATAGCATCAGACCGTCATTTCATGGAGGAAACGACAAATGACACCAGAGCCCGGAAGCGACTCGGACGATTAGTTCATATAATTTGATTTTCAACTTTAAACTATTCTCAATACTAACTTCCAAATGTCTTATTGATAGAATGTACACAACTCAAGTGTTTGAAATAAATATATATTTATTTTTGTGATGTGTACAATAATTTGTAACTTAATGTTTTTTTTAATCTAAAAGTCCTGAACCGACCCGGGACCGGATTGGATAGACCAGACCGGAACCGGGTACCGTTGTCATCCGGGTCGGTTCCGATCTCTTCAATTAAAATTCGAGACCGGCCGGTCCGGGACAGGAACTGGGACCAGGACTGGACCTAGTGGTGGACCGGGCCCGGTTTGGTTCTGGTTCGGGCTTGGATGGTTTTGGGTAAGGCCCAGAACCGACCCAGGAGTCTACCGATTCCGGGCCGGGCCGGGCCGGTTCCGGTTCATTTTTTTTGTTTTCTTGTTTATTTCAACCCCCAACCCCCATCCCCACAAACCCCTCGGAAACACCCAGCCCAACCTACCTAAACCCAGCCCAAACCCAAAAAAAAACAAAAAAAAAGGTCCAGATCAAGCCGGGCCGGTTCGCCTTTTTCAGGATCTGGAACCGAAACCGGTTACCCCCTCGGGCCAGGCATAGGCCCGGAACCGGTTTCCCGGACCGGGCCGGGTACAAACACAACCCATGTTGGCCCAGAACCAGACCACCCCTAATTGGACCAGGTCCATTATGAGTCCATCCCTATGGAGGAACAACTATTGAGTTCCAAAATGATGTGTAAAAAGAATTGTTTTTTTTGGAACATTCTTCTAAACCTAATATAGCATCTGCTCTTGTTAATGTCAAGATCCTTGATTGGGATGAGACTCGAACCTGCAACCCCTCTTTGAAAGATCAGCAGCGATACCATCAGACTACAAGGTACTTGACGTAAAAAGAATTGTTTTATAATGTATAGCATTATGCGTAATTCATTTTGTTATTTTTTGGTAAATATAATGTTGTTTAAATGGTTTTCAAGCTTTTGCGTCATGTAAAACCCTAAAACCCGTCTTTTTCATCGTATGAAATACTATGTTACCAACATTTTTTGTATTAAACATTTTCAATAAATTCTCCCACTCGAATACACGATATGGATATTTAATATTTCATCGGTGTAAACAATTGTGATTACATTGGGACTTTTTGTTGATCTTAGTTTCTATAGTTATCTAATTTTTTGGTAAAATACTTACCAAAGAGACTGCCTGGCCATCTTGAGCCCTCATATCAAAGAATCAATGGCAGTAGATGGAGTCCACTTTTTCCACAATTCTCAAGGCTTAAGTTTTAATCTTTGCCCTCCATGTGGACATAGCACTCTGCGAGATGATCTCAATCCATATTTCCATATTTAGCTGGTTTAGCCAATTTAGGTATTGCCAAACATCATTTTCTGGATCGTACTTAATCCAGGTAACCACACGACCTAGTAGATGTAAAATTAGATAGATTATAAGATGATTTAAAAAAAAAAACTTATTTTATGGTAGATTCAACATGCAAGGCCCATGTAGTGCCCAAAGATATTTTGAAAAGCATAAGTAATGTGCCATCATCGCTACAAAACTGAAAAAGGCATAGACCGTTTTGATACAGTGACCTCCCCCTCAACTTGGCTGACCATTCAAGAGTTGTCTGGCTTGAAAGACTTCATCAGACAACACTAAATGCGGATTGAATGGTCGATGATACCCGGGAGGCAAGGGTTTGAGTTGCAAATGCTTGAAGCTGCTTCTTCGCATCTGGAAAGGGGATCAATCAAAAAGTTTGTTAGACAGCTCAATTGATCTTTTATGCTTTGCGGGAAAGAAAAGTTTTAAGTACTTCACTTCAGTAAGGTAAATAATGCAGATGCCATGGTAACAATATTGCATACGTCTGTACGGCCAAACTACATGAAGATGCTACATGAAAATTGTTTTTCGGAAACATGCATGATGCAAGACAACCCCTTTTTTATCCCCTGGAATTGTTTTGTTGGATGGTCAGACCCATCGAAACCATGTACTTCTGTTAGGGTTCTGGGATTGAGAACGGGTCCAGGGATGACTCAGGGTAGCAGGGTACCCGGTTGAGGTCATAACCTGCCTGCTAGGGTTACCACTCTTCTTGCCCGTGGCTGGAAGAGCGCAGGGGAGGGGGGAAGTCCGTGACTTCTCTCTGGGAATAATTACTATTCCTCAAAAGAATTATAAATAGGCGTTCTGCCTTTACATGATTAAGTCCTATTCTAACTAAAACTCTAAATGTAATATAAAGATAACATCAAACTCGACTCCTCTTGTAATTAACTAAAACCCTAAAAATGCATCCGTAACAACTTCTGATTGGACTAATTGGGCAAAATTATGCTGGATTCAGCCCCTTTTTATATAGGCCCCCCCTTTCTATTATTCCTTAGATTGTTTCTTGCCTCCATGTTTGGGCAGATATGGGTGAAATATATTTAAGGCAAGGTTAAAAAATGGGAAGGACGTGTTAAACAAATGGCAGAGAAGAGAAAGAGATGAGGAGGGGTCAATGAGACTTATTTTTTCTGTTTCGATAAATATGTCCACTTAGAAGTTGAGGTGCTCAATGGGACTTATATTAGAAACCACAAGTCCACAACTGTAGCCAAGCTCTATATCAGATGCTCATAAGTCATAACCATAGCACCTTGGCTGCTCCCAACCATAGCAGCAGTGGTGTTGTACCAAATAGTCAACACAAGTGAATAAATACTGACTCTCTCATGGGTGGAGAGAGTACCGATGATAACCATGTCGATTGTTCATGAAGTTATGACAACATAAGGAAATATATATTATGCCTTGCAATGCTTCTAATGAAGAACATCACATGTGTCTGTCTGTGGGTAAACACATGCAGTATGTAGACATGCTAAAAGTATGTAGGTAGGTGATACAGACTACAGTGAAGAGATTTTAAACCCACCTTTGCGGCATCTAGTAAAGCCAACAATGTTTGCAATGCTGAGTGTCAAGCAAACTCCAATAACAAGGAGATAGTCAGCCTGGAACCTAATGAGTGAGAATATTGCGAGAAAGATCCAAGCAACAGCCTAATAACACCAAAGAATGTCAGCTCAGGTACTAGATACAATAAACAGACTAACAGAGTACTTGTTTCTCCTCTTATAAGGAGTCAATTTTAGATACTAATAATCATTTATCCATTTCGAAGTTTGAATAACATGAAGCAATGATGAAAAATCTCAAAGCTGATTTTGAGCTATAAACTGAAATCTTGAGAGTTATTCCTAATGAATGTGGAACATGGCACACCAAAAATACGACAGGCCTTCAGCCTTCTCAGATTTCAGTGCACATAAATATATAATCCATGTCCCTTAAAAGTTGAGCATAAAAGATGGACTACATAATACCTAAAAACATTGTTTGATAAAATCATTTTTTGGTCATTGGTGTTTCAAAATATTCTTTAAAGTGATGACTTTTTGATATGGTTCAAAATCACAGTTTGATCATATCTTATCACAACTCTGGAACTTTTAGGCATCTAAAGCTCCAATTAAATGTTTGAAACACTAAAATATTGCCTAAATTGCAACATTCAAAATCACCTCTCTCTCAGATCAGTGTTTTAAAGAAATTTAAGACATTTTTATATGGTTCAAAATCATAGTTTGATCTTATCTTATCACAACTCTGGAACTTTCAAGGCATCTAAAGCTTCGATTAAATGGTTGAAACGCTACAAATAATGCCTAAAGCGCAACATTCAACATCACCTCTCCCTCAGATCAGCGTTTCACAGAAATTTAGGACAGTCTTGATTTAGAGCCAAACCCAGAACATCAATGAACGTTTTATGTTTGAAGACACTGATAACCAAAATACGACATGACATGATGGTAAATAAAGTATTGAATATACCCGCACGGGTAGCTCAGTTGGTCGAGCGGTGGGAAAAATTGGACGTAGACCAAGGTTCGAATCCCACAGCGGCCAAAAGGGGGTTTTCAGAACCTGAAATAAGGCTGGCCCTCTGGTGCGCACGGGTAAAGGCCTACTGCCGCTTTGCCGACTGAGTCACCGTGATTTACTCCCCCACCATCCTGTCGGGTCGGGGTGGGGGGGCCCTTGGGGTTGGGGATTCAACCTTTTGGACGTAAAGTATTGAATATTATAGATTGTTTACTTACTGTAAGATATAATGTCCACCAGAAAAGCCAAGAATCCTTCTTGTTCATGCGAGCCAATGACTGCACATGAAATAATAGAAAAAAATAATACACAAGTTGAATGGTGTAGCAAAACATAATCCGTCAAACAAACAGTAACATAAAATAGATTTTAGATAACATATGTTATCACTTGATAGAAGAGGCAATGAACAATCTGCAAGACGTTGCTGCTCACCTCTTGGTCAAGGCATTCAAATTTCCACACACTTTCACCCTCATCATTTATTTCATTCCACCATCTCAGCCCCACTAAGATACGACCACTCACATTCTTAACGACCCAAAAATCAAGAGCTGCTAGCAGAACAGTAACCACAAATATGATAACAAAGCTATCAACAAACACAGCTGAAAGTATGTAAAACGCCAATGCTGCAGCCTGGAAAGGGATCAGGGGAAGAAATAGTGAGCGGTGAAATATCAATTTGGTCCGTAGAATAAAAGGAGTCAGATGCTCTTGACCTTGAAGAACACATGGAAGAAACATATCTTTGGGTGTGCGTAGTTCTCCCCTGCAGGCTGAGTATATAAGGTAAGAAAACCGTAGTAAGGGTTGATTACATACTAGTTCATTGCCAAGTCCATACACTTTCAAGAAAGAATAAAAAAGTTGAAAACAGACAAGATGTAGCTTGCAAAAGTTGCACACTTGCACTGGAGACATTACGACTACTTTACACACATAAACTAGTAAACATTGATAAAGAACAAAGGGAACCAAACATCCATATTTAAATTTTATATTACATATTAATTCATTAAAACTATGTTCCCTTCCTCTTAATCTTACCAAATTAACTATCTTAGAGTACAATGACTGAGCAACAAATCAAGAAAAGGCTGCAATAACTGTCTCCTTCACTGAGGTGATAAGTAAATAAATCCCTGCTCCATCAAATTTTTATTGCAAACTTGCAAAAATTTGTTCATCCATCTTATAATAGCACCAATGTGACCATCTTCGTTTATGCCTTAATTAAACAAGCATCTTATGAACCAAATTTAAACAAGTCTGAACTCCAGATGTTCTGATCTAATAAAGATAGATCAATGCTTGTTTTCTTTTACTATTTTCCCGCTCACAAAAATTTGACCTTGCACTAGTAATGACATAGCTACCCAAATAAATATATTCAGGCTTGAATCATTTGATGCAAAAGTTCATTGTGCTTGAAGGCTAATTTGCAAATTTTCAGCACAATGCTGACATGATAAATCTGCCTTTTCAGAACGGTGCTGAAATGATAAATCTGCCATTCTGAATGCAGTTTATTGTCCAACACCAAGATGAAAATCTTGTAAATATGTTGACCTCCAAAACTAGCCTGAGTTGCCTTCTTTCTAACTATGTCCATATCCATCTTAATTGTGCAAATCTCAATTATCATCGTCATCTCAATTATCATCGTCCACGGTGCTTTCTCACGAGCAAGCATGGACATAAATGTGTCTTATTCTCATAAAGTTATCAATTTATGAAAACACCTGAAACTCATCTTAGTCTTGGCATCTTCTACACTATTGTCTGAGAAAGTTATGATGGCTTGTTTGGTAAGTGGAACTGGATGGGCCAATTAGTAATAGTCACTAATAAGTAATAACAATCTCACATAAATCCCATGCTCCATGATAGGCATCTATCCCCCAAACATTATCATCTTTTCAAGTTTGCTTGCAAAAAAACACCTTATTCAGTTTCAAAGTATGCTTAGTTAATTTTTTTAACATCAAGCATTCCCGATATCATATTCCTAACTAGTCACTTCAAGTAGCTCGACGGATTTACCCCAAGTAGGTGTCAAACAACACCATACATCTGTGTTATTGTCTAAGGTATAAAGTCAATGCATCTGTCAGAAATTGTATAAAATCCGATTCAGGCCAGCTGATAGGTTTTTTCTTCATCATATCATCCACACCAGGTTAACCTATAGATTTAAAGCCTATTGCATTTTTACGAACTTCAATACTCCGTATGATCTCATCAACAGATCTATCTCGGAATATGGAAAGTATACGAAACAAGTCATTGGACGATAGTCATTTCAGAAAAAATCAATTGTGTATTCAGCTAAGAAGCATATCGATGATCGCTGAAAAACAAAGATCTTACAGGATTCAGATCCATTTTTGAAGAATTCAAGTGCTGGGATTTTTAGAATCGCCTCAGCGGTGTGATCTGCTTCACCGCGCGGGTTCTAACCAGGACTAGAAGGAGTCAGTGATTTCTTCCTTTCTTTCTTCTTTTTGGTGCTAAGACATGAATGAAGCAGCTAATTTTTTTGGACCAAGCGGCTAATTTAGTAATGAGTTTTTCTCACGGGTATTATGTCATGATTTTAACATTTTTAGTCCTACATTATTAGTTTAAAAAAATGATATTTGTACACATTCTTATACACACTTTTGTACACACCTATATTTGTGAAAGCTTATTTTGTCTGTGAACATCGATTCACAGACAATGTTTTGCACAAACAAAATATTGTCTGTGAACCGGGTTCACAGACAAAAAAAAAACTTCACAAATATGGTGTGTATAAGGTGTGTACAAGGGTGTGTACATGGTTGTTAGTTTAAAGACACTTTTAATTTTTGATTTCAAAGTTTCTCACATTTAATCCCCTGAGTTTTATCAAGTTGACATTTTTAGTAGTTCAATTATGATTTTGACACAATGATTGGAGGACTATAAATGTCACTATTATAATAGTTGAAGGATCACATGTGTCACTTTCATTAAAGTTGAAGGATTGAATATGAAAAATTTCAAAGACAGATACCAAAAATGTCTCTAGCACAATAGTTAAAGATAAAAAATGAAAAAATCAAAGTGACATCAATGGCAGAAAAACACAAGTTCTTGAATATTTTAAAAATGGACCCGGTACAATTTTAGCTTTTGAATTCAACTCCACTTTTTATGAAATTGCACACCCTTATTTCTCAAGGAATCACATCGTCTAAGGGTTAAGGGTGTCTAATTGAAATATAAATTCAAAATGAAATAAATGATGATGATTAAGAAGAGCAAATAAATAAAGCCTCAGAGCTAGAGTTTTTTCTCAAATTAATACTAATTAAATAAATAATTCAAAAATTAGAATTGGATTAAAAAAAACCAAAATAGTGTTGGGTGGAACCCCAGTTAGACAAAGTCATCACTTGAAGTAGCGACATGTATAAAAGAATGTACGTGCAATGCAATACATAACTATGCAAGAGATCGGTATCTTAATTTTAAAAAAAATCTCTTTTTTCTTGTAATGGCTATAACTTTTTTATTTTTGCACCAATTTAAATAAAAAATACGAAGTATATCAAAATTTATAATTTTTTATGACTTTTATATGACACTATATTGCATATATAATTCGTTTTAAAAAAATTGATTGTCGATAGAGCCTGATTGAAATATAAAATTCAAAATTCTATCTTCAAAAGAAATTTCTTTTCAAGTTGACCAAACTTAGGCTAAAAAAATATATCAAAATTTACAACTTCTTATGATTTTTCATATAAAACCAATTTTGCATATATAATTATTAAAAAAGAAACTAAAAATCATATGGTATCCATTTATGTTAATTTATGTATGATCTTTTCCCATTTACTCATTTATATTAGAAGGAAAAAGCTCTTAATGTGATCATATTAACACAGGAAAGTAATACTACGTATTATTTTTTGATTAATTCCTTTCAATGACAATAAGAGTATTCAAAATTCACATCATAATGACTATAAAACTTATCCATAATAACTTATAGTCACATTTGCGTCCCTATATTTTTTATTAGTGGTGTTTTAGAAAACCCGTTTAAATAAAAAAACATAAACAAAATTTTGGAAATTTATTTTTTGAATTTAAACTTACTAAGACGCCAAATATAATGAAGTTTACTATATAAATTTAAGATGTAATAGAGTCCTAAAAACTATGGGACTAAAAAGATACAACATCAAGAGTTGGAGAATTTATATTGCATTGCAAGTTATTATTAACTATAAAATTCAATGTAGAGTTATAATATTTCTTCAACTTCCCAATTCATATATTAACTATAAAGTTATTTATATTAGGAGAAAATAATACCCCAAACTTTGAAGGGGTGTGAGATAAACATCTCGAACTTTCATATGTAATTTAAATGTCCCAAACTTTATATAAAAAATTATTTTAACACCATGGTTATGTATTATTTCTTTCAGAAATGTAAATTTATGATGTTAAATGCATAATTTAAAATAGCAGATTGAAAACATTAGAATTATATATATTGGTGGGTAATACTATTTATTTTACAATGGAAGCCCTAAGGACTAAATTAACATGCATAATACTCTCTCCCTTCCTAAATATGAGTCCTCTTAGGTTTTGGCACGGGTTTTAAGAGGAAAATAATAGGGGTAGTGTAAAAGGTATAGTGGGTTGTGGGTAAATGAAAAAGTGGGAAAAAGAAAGGGATAATGGTAATTAAATTGGGGGTATAAAGGTATTTTGATTTGAAAAAACTTACCAAAAAGGGAAAGAGGGAAAAATAATTAAAAACGTCTCAAAAAGGAATGTAAGACAGTTAATAAAGAACAAAAGGAGTACTAATTAAGGTTCAAGCCCAAAGACTAAAAGTTTTTGCTTAAAGTTATTCTTCTTCCCAAAATTGAGTGCTTAGAACTAAATCATACCAAATTACCATTACAGGGGGAAAAAAACTAATTAAGTATAAATGTATAGTATATGCACAAATGATTTTTGAAATAAAAAATTATTGAAATTTATAAGGGAGTGTTTTCAAAATAAAATAAAATAAAATAAAAAACGCTTTTTAGCTGTTGCCTTAAAAAATTGAAATGGTCGTTTTCAAGTGACAATTTTTGAAAAACTTAAGCACTTAAATTAAAAGCTAAAAAGCTAAAAGCAACTAAATGAGTGCTTTGATTTAAGCTGATTTTCACTTTTTCTGTTACATTAAAAACCTTTTTTAACAAACTCTATCAATTTTTACTTTTTCAAAAGCAGTTTTTTCTCAAACATTATCAACTATTACTATTAAATAAATTTTTTAAATCACTTTTTAAAAGTAGAACCAATCACAAACTCTAATCTGATTTAACATGATCAGGTAAAATGTTATTGTATGTGTATTTTATTATTACTAATAAAGTTTGACAAGGTCCGATCTACTATATTCTGTTTAAGTGGGACCTATTTTAGATCTAATTAAAAAATCATGCACTACATACAGAATTGATTTATCTTCTAACAGATAATCACAAATAAAATTAGTCCAAATTGTGTCGACGGACTTTATGCATGTATCAATTTGAATAAATTCAGAACATTAGTCCTAACACTTAAGGTAATAACAATCTAATGATATAATTACAGTTTATTATCACGTGTCAATTTGTTTCCACAAAATTATTGATATGTTGATATTGTTTTTATATCTATAAAAATGAGATTCACAAAGTTTAAGTTTTAATTTATAATATGTGTGGTTGATAAGTATTGAATATAAACCTTTGATTTTTTTAATATAATGGCAACGTTTAGTTAATGTTATTTTTAGCTCTCCCATATAAATATCATTTTTATATTGTGCTATTATTACACTAAACTATGTTTTTATGCAAACCTTTAAATGATATATGACAAACCATTAATAGGAAATAAGAGAGTATATAGGGAATGAGGGTTGATTAATTAAATAAAAGGCTAAAGGATCAAATAGGTCTCTGTATTCATATCAATAGCTCAATTGGGTACCCGAACTAAAAAAAGGTCCAATCCAATCCTCCAACTCTTCAAAATCGTTCAATTTGACCCTTTAGCCGGTAAACTCCAGGTACTCAATTGAGCTATTGATATGAGTACAGGGACCTATTTGACCCTTTAGCCTTTGAAAAACGAAAAAATTGAACGATTTTGAAGAGTTGGAGGATTGGATTGAACCTTTTTTTAGTTCGGGTACCCAATTGAGCTATTGATATGAGTACAAGGACCTATTTGACCCTTTAACCTATAAAAGTATGGTAAGTGAAGGGTTTATTAACAAAGAATTGCTCTTTATACTGAATTTAAGAAAACAACTCAAATTGATACATCCGTACATGTGGTTAAGGTCTATTGGGAACTTAAATACATTTACATGATCAATATTTCATAATAGTGATGGTCAATCATGCATTTGTGATAGTTACATAAAAAAAGGTATTCCAAATTGTAGATTCACACATACAAATTATATTTTTTATAAATTAAATAATCTTCATCTACAGTGTATGATAGAATATACATAGTATGTGTCACACGGGTAGAATAAGAGATTTTAAAATATGGAAAGTTCAATTTTATTTTGAAACTATGAAAGTTCAAATTTATTAAAAATTACTCTTAAATAATCTTGTTACTCATAAAAATAAAGAAACAATATCTACAAAATGAGTGGGTGAGTGCCTTATCCATATCATAAGATGATAGAGAAACAAAGGAACATCAGAAGAAGAGATGGGCAGAGAGATCAGCATTACAACCCATCATCACCAACACATATTTGAAAAAGAAAGCCATCAAAATGTTAAGCCTGACGGCCATTGTTCCACAACTCAATCACCCATCCTTCTCTTTTGCTCGCTCTGACTTCAGTGGCGCCAAGCTAGCTGCCTCTCCCCAGTTAATTAACACAGGCCTCTCTCAGGTACCATTAAGTAGACTCACTACATCAACTTAATTTTAAAGCTCATTCTCCATTAAGCATCTCGGAGATTGTTAGGTTATTAGGGATGCAGTTGGTGACTTGGGGTGATTGTTTTTGGAAGCATAGTGGTTGTGTGAGATTATTCAGTTAGATTATTTGTATCAAAAGCATGAATCAAGATTATTTATTTATTTATTTATTGTAACACTATTTCAAAAAAAAGCGATTCCCGCACCAATAAAATAATAATAATAATAATAATAATAAATGTGACAGTAATTTAAAACTTAAAAGTCGAGGCCACCACAAATTTATCTGAATCATGAATAATGTGGATGATCTAACATGGATGAATCATGGTCTCATGGATGTGTGCGAGGGAATCAATTTAAACTGTTGTGTATTCACAATTTATTGATCTGTGTAAATTTAGGAAATTACTTTAGATAATATGTAGTATGGAGTATCATTGGTAATTGGTTAATGGTTGACTACCTAATTCCAAACATTAGAAATGATAAATCAATAGTATTTCCTACTTATTACTGAAAATTATATGATCTTTAAGTCTTTAACAAAATTAAGCTAATGGGCTGACACGAATAATTCTCAGGGAAAATTCCCTAAATATGAGTAAAAAAGTTTTGAAATTCCAAAATAGAACTGTCATATTTGTATTCCCTAAATAGGAGTTTCTGCCAAGTTTGGTATTATCAGGCTTTAAACATGGCAGTTTCTGCCATGTTTTTTCCGAACTCTCCAGAAATTACTCATATTTAGGGAATAAAAACATGAAGGTCCTATTTTGGAATTTCAAAACGTTTTTACTCCTATTCAGGACAATTTCTATAATTCTAATTTGTAATTTTTATTTTTTGGATTTCTGTTAGTTTATAGCCAACAGTTACCATTATTTTAAGTCATTTTCCCCAAAACGTATTTTTATACACCACATTTGTAGGACACCTTCACTGCTACACAGCACAAGATTATTTGTTATGGCAGACACAAACTTGTAAGTGAAAACAGTTTGTCCATAGACAGGTAAGTTTGTTGTGTATGAGGGTATGACACTAAAGGCATAATCCGCTTCTTTCACCATGTTAAGATCTTAATACTAAAGGCATTTTCACATGTTGTATTAAAATACTGCTTTAATGAAAGGTACATATTTAAAATTACATGACAATATCTAAAAATGGTACAGGTGAGTATGTGTTACTCTCATTGCAAGTGTAAAAGGACTGAAGCTATTATTGTTTTTTTCATGTGAATGTAGTATAAAAGGAAGGCATGTGGGAAGCTGCAGGTTTCGGCAAGTGCCAAGAAGATCCTTATAATGGGAGGCACCAGATTTATTGGTATCTTTTTGTCCAGACTTCTTGTCAAAGAAGGCCATCAGGTGCATATTCTGTGCCAAACTGGTTTTATGCGTTGGAAAATACTAAATCCTCCATTCTTTTTTAGTTGCAACTTTCCCTTTTTCACGCTTGCCAATGCACAACTTTGACCATCATTATATTTAATTCTCTATTAGTAAAAAAATATTAAAAATCAAATTATGAAGCTTTGTAATGAGACAAATTCAACAATATTTTCCAAGAAAAATAATTCACATACATTAATAAATAAAATGTAGTCAAAGTAGAGTACATGAATAGTGTGTAAATTCCAATGTTGCAACTAATATGATACGGAGGGAGTATATATTATGGTGCCCATTGATATTAAGCACTGTATAGGTTACTCTGTTCACAAGAGGAAAGGCCCCAATTGCACAACAATTGCCAGGAGAATCGGACATTGACTTTGCTGATTTCTGCTCCAAGGTTGTTGTGCCAATTAGTTAATCATCTCAAAGAACCATATGCCTTTATTGCTTCTTCACTTGATCTTATAGTTCCAAGTATTCTAAGAAAGCCTTTTTTTAGATATTGCACTTGAAGGGAGATAGAACGGACTATGATTTTGTTAGGAGAAGCATCTCTGCTGAAGGTTTCAACGTTGTGTATGACATAAATGGTAGGTGTGATGGTTAAACATCATCCATTGTTTTGTAAATAGGTTAAATAGACCTAATAACATAAAATAACCTGAGTGAGTATCAACATTAAAACATAGATGGGTAAATCTGATCCAACGATGGGTAAATTCGCAATGAGAGATACTTTAACAAGGACTTCTTATTCTACAATTTGAATTGCACGCCTGGACGCTTGATTTCATTTTTTCGTTTGAGCTTGACAAAAATCCCTTGGAAATTTGGAATTGGAAACGCTTTTGTTGTAATTTGCAGGACGGGAAGCGGTTGAAGTGGAATCCGTATTGGATGCATTGCCTAATCTTGAACAGTAAGCTAAGCTGCTTATAAAAATTGAGATGTGACGTTTGTTTTCAACATTATAGCTTAAAAAGTCCGTTTGGAATGTGGAAAATGATAGGAGAACAAAAATGACAATTTTATAGGATAAATATGGAAGAAAAGAAAATGTCAAGGAAATTTAAAAGTTGTTTCATACTCGATAGCTATATTTTTAATAATTGTTCGAATTCATTGTTATCTATTTATCTCTATCATAAAAACACTAAGCAATTTAAACCTATGTGAAAATAATAATAATAACATAAATCATACATCATTTTTCTTTGCATTTCGAATCCAAACATAAAAATGACTTTCTTGAGCCTTTTCTTCCCTTCCCCTACTATTTTTCGGGATCCAAACATAGCTTAAGTTTTGAGTTCTTTAATGAAGTAAAAATAGACTGCAGTATTTGTTGGGGTGCATAATAATATAGTATTACAGAACCAAATTTTCTTGTTCAAGACTATTTTGGTCTGGGAGGGTACTATTCATTTTGACTATTACTTTTTTGTTGTTGTTGAATCGTTAGGTACATATACTGCTCCTCAGCTGGTGTTTATCTCAAAACTGATTATTTGCCCCACTACGAGGTTAGCATATATCTTCATCTATTTTTCTTATTCGAAATTGTGATTTTCTCTAGAAATCCATTATTAATGTGTTCTCATTCAACTTATGTTTGACAGACTGATGAAGTTGACCTAAAGAGCAGGCACAAAGGGAAGCTGGAGACAGAAAGGTTATTGCAATCACGAAGCAGCGTTAATTGGACTGCTATAAGACCAGTCTATATATATGGTCCATTGAACTACAATCCCATTGAAGAGTGGTTTTTTCACCGCCTCAAAGCCGCCCGCCCAATCCCCATTCCCAACTCCGGAATGCAAGTAACCCAACTTGGTCATGTTAAGGTTAGCAAAATAGTAATAGATTGGAAATGAATAAATCATTAAAACCCTGAGATTATATTGTCAGTCATTATTATCATGATAAACATGTCTTCCTATAATTTTTAACTTTTATTGTCAAGGATGCAATGTTTTAAATTGGGCAATAATATCCCGCCTTGAGAACACACCTCGCAGATTTTCGGTGATTTGCGATGAAAGGCGTATTCCTTTTGACGCCATAGCAAGGCTTATGTCTTGTAGTCTGAGGTGTAGGCTCTAAGGTGCATGCAATGGAAGGGAGGCTAAATAATTATTTGACTCAACTCATCGATTCATCTGCTCCCTCTCGTCACTCGCCTCTCCCTCTTTTCTCCGTCTGTGCTTGTCGTTTTGTACTCTCGCCTGCAAGCGTGGTAGCCAAGGTAGCCAAGATACTCCTGTCCAGTGGCCGTTTTAGGTGTCAAAATAGTGACCTTAGAGGCTTTTTAGTCCCAAGTTTTAACCATTCGGGCTTCCCGTCCGGGTTATGTGTTTTCCTTTTAGCTTTTAGAGAACATTTAATAGCCTTAGAATCCCATATCCAAAAATTAAAGTGGATATGATGAGTTAATAAGACCTAAGGTTGAACTAACTTAATATATTGGAATCAGTCATTTCGGTAGCTTGACCCAATTGTCTTGAGGTCTAGTTGAGTGCTCCCAAGAAATCTTGAATTCGTGGCATTCACTTTTCATCCATGCTGAAAAAGACGCAAGCTTTGTACAGATGATACTGAAACATGAACCAAAAAATAAAAAATAAATAGCAACTTAAATTTGTGCGTAATATGTATGACGTGGGCCTAGATTTATGTATACAGGATCTTGCAAGAGCCTTTGTTCAGGTTCTCGGTAATGATAAGGCAAGGAAACAGGTGTTTAACATTACTGGAAATAGATATGTTACTTTTGACGGATTAGCAAAGGCATGCGCGAAGGTTAAGTGTTGTCTTCATCATTCTATTCACAAGTCTCTCTGAAAGGCCTACATGCTAGAAAGCTGATGCAAGACTACATTTGTCTTAATGTTTTGAAACAGGCTGGTGGGTTCCCTGAACCAGATATTATTCACTACAACCCAAAGGAGTTTGATTTTGGTAAAAAGAAAGCATTTCCATTTCGTGATCAGGTAATTGTCTGGCAGATATGTTTTAGAATTCTTCCACCTGATGATGAATAATGGAAAAACTTTTGGTACATAATAATGAGTTATTTTTTGTTTTCTTTGTTACGCAAAAATGTAATTGTGGTTTTTCTGGGGGGGGGGGATACGCAGCATTTCTTTGCATCAATTGAGAAGGCAAAGCGTTTGCTGGAGTGGAAACCAGAATTTGGGCTGTTTGAAGGTCTTACAAACTCATACAGCCTAGACTTTGGCCTCGGAACCTTTCGCAAAGAAGCAGACTTCTCCACGGATGACTTGATTCTTGGGAACAGTCTTTTTCGCTAGAGTTAGCCACGGCCTTTGGTTTCTTTCTCACCTTTAGGAACCCTTTCCATTGTGCAGTTTCTTCATTAAAGAGAAAAATTAGGAATCTTGTCACCTTGAGTTGATGTAAATGAAATAATAAATGCTTCTAGATACAGTTAGTTTTCTATTTACCAGTTCTATGATATTATTATTATTATGTATAGGCAGTATAGCTAATACGCCTACACATGTCCGTTTATGAAGAGTGCTAACTGCTAACCATTGCATATTGATAGTTTTTTTACCATAACCATATTGATAGTTAAGACGTTAAGTAACAACAAAATATATAATTCTTGTTTATACGTTTAAGTGTTTTGATCTTATATAATATTGACTTTGATAAATAAATTATGTTTGTTGTATGACACATTAATTTGATGCATATGGGTTTTTTTACAAAAAATGTTATTAAAATAAAACTTATTTACACAAAAATGGCCATTAGCTACTACAATGTAACGTCATAGTAATTTAAGTTTAAAAATTGAACACAAGTTACTATGATTTCATTACTACTCTAGTCACTAATCACATTTTTGTAAACAGTCTTCATTTCAGCCATAAATTTGTAATTACTTCATTATGTAAAGAGTTTTTCAAGTAAATAACGCATAGTGCAATAGACGTGTAGACTGTAGAAATAGTTTCAGTCCAATCAGATTAGATTAGACTTCGACAGTTGTAAAATACACATAGAACAAATATCTAACAAACTGGTTCAGAGCAAATCAAACTTAAATTGATCAGACCATACCATAAAATTATAAAGCAGTTAAAAATATCATAATTGTTACCTAAGTAATAAATACAAAAACAATAATTTGCTCATTATTTGCAAGACCCAGCACAAATTTCATATACGTTAGTATAAGGATGTTTTTACTTGGACCGTAATTCATTCCAGACCAGTTCAGACCAGACTTGGATAGTGTTGTAAAAATACAAAGAAATCAGACCAGGCCAGCAAATTACGGTCCAAGTAAATACGCCGACCATATGCGGTCAAAGTGGATACCACAACCATACAAACACTGTGTGAAGATATTATTTTATATTTTATGCAAACTGAATTACGTGACAATCTGACATGTCTAATTGTTTCATGACAAATTTACCCCCACCAATTTCACGATGAAATTCCCTTCTCTTGTATAGACCCTTTATCACCCCATGTTTTCTCCATGAATATCTAACAACCACAAAAAAAACATTTTGCAATGACCAACCATTTTGTTGAGGAACTTTCATCTCCAAATACTAGACACATTTCCCTCGACAAATTTATTTTCAATCTGCTTCCATAATAGCTTAGGCCTTTCAATTCCCTCCTCTTCTCCTGGTTTCATCAAAACCCCACCAATTTACCGTTCGAGCCTCCTCCAAACATCCATCAAAATCCTCACCATCCCCGACAAAGACCAATGGACATTGACAAGCTCAGAAGAGTTTTCCAAATGTTCGATCAGAACAGCGATGGACGGATCACCAAAAAGGAGTTGAGTGATTCATTGCTGAAGATGGGAATCTTCATTACAAATGAAGAACTAACCCAGATGGTCGAGAAAATTGACGTGAACAGGGATGGGTGTGTGGACATAGATGAGTTTGGGTCAATGTACCAGTCGATCATGGACGAACAGGATGATGATGTGGACATGAGGAAGGCGTTCGAGGTTTTTGATCAGAACGGTGATGGGTTCATCACAGTTGACGAGCTGAAGTCTGTGTTGGCATCACTTGGGCTCGAGCAGGGCCGCACGATCGATGATTGCAAGAAGATGATCATGAAGGTGGATGTGGACGGTGACGGAATGGTGGACTTCACTGAGTTTAAGCAGATGATGAGAGGGGGTGGCTTTGCTGCATTGACCTGAAAATTTATATGTGTGCATATTTAAGTTAGTTACCCTGCACCATACGTTTTTGTTTACAAATATATTTTTCTTCATCATAAGTCTTGTAAATATGGTACTTTTTAGTGGTTTGGCCTTTATGAACCAAGCCAAATAACCATAACATTTTTAGTGGGCGGATTGGAGAAATTATGGGGGTGGGTTGAGGGAGAAAGGGTAAAATATAGACATCTAGGCATCAATCACTTGTTTCCTTTTTCTTTAAAGATAACATACACCCGTATTTTTCATGTTGTCATATAGGATTGCAGCAAAACTCTCAATGTTATTAGCACATTTCTATCTTTCTAATTTGTATTCTAAAAAGTAGCGATATTAGTTTTCATAAATAATTTCTTGAAATGCCAATTCATATAAATCCAAATTAACCTCTTTCACTAACCATCTTAATGAGAGATCTCTATCTTTATTAATGTGTAAACTAAAAAGAAGTAGCCATATTAGATTTTCATAAATAAATTCTTGAAATGTTAATACATATAAATTCAAATTACTTTCTTTTATTAACCATCTTAGTAAGAGATTTACATCTTTATTCATGAGTATTATAAGAAGTAGCAATATTAGATTTTCATAAAAGACTTCTTGAAATATCAACTCATATAAATGTAATTAATATTTTTCACTAACCATCTTATAGAGATTGATTCATTTACATTTTGCACACTACTTAAACAAAACATCCAGCATATACATTGTTATAGTGTATGCGACAAGCACATCATACACCCTTATTGTATAGAACCATTAGAACCAAACCTGAGAATTAGCGTGAAAAGAGTATATATCAAACACCAACTGTGCTATCCTGTGTATCCTCTTCCACGCCATCCTGTGTATCAAGAAGTGAAATTTGTAAATGTAAGCAATATTACACACTAATGTTAGGGACCTACATAGAATAATAATAAATAGAATAAGTTTGTAATAATTGTCCTGTTATTAGCTATTAACTATAGCTAGTGGAGCTGTAGGTCTATAAATAGAATAAAACGGGTAAGAAGTGGGAGACGGTTATCTTTGGATGTATTGTTGCCTTGAGAGTCCCAGTTGCCTGAGAAGTCCCTGTACCCTACGGTTTACCCCTATATCATCAATAAACGTCTATTTCCATCTCTGTTCATCAGATCTGTGAGATTGGATTACTGTTTTTAGCTTTGATTTGTGTCTGTGTCTAACATTGGTATCAGAGACGGTTAATCGTCGTTGATGGTTTGGACGCGAGGGAAGATGGAATCACGAGTGGACGAGTTGGAGAAGAATCATCAAGAGACGAAGGAAATACTGACCGCGATTCTCGCAAAGTTGGATGCAAGAGAAAAAAATCGATCACGAAGTCGAACGCAGGCATCGTCTACATCGCGTCACTCATCGCATCACTCATCGCATCATCACTCGACGAAATTGGAGGATAGTTCCGATGGATCGGAAGGTCACAGAGGGTATTCACCACCACACCGGCATCGCCATCACCATCAGACGCACAGAAAGGTTGACCTACCTTTATTCAACGGTGAAGACGCTTATGGCTGGCTTGTCAGGATTGATCGTTATTTCCAACTCAACAATACAGAAGAAGAGGATAAGATTGAAGTTGCAGTAGTAGCGATGGAAGGCAAAGCTCTGGGATGGATTCAATGGTGGGAGAAACAAGCAAGAGAAAGGACATGGTAGAAATTAAAGAAGGCGCTGATTCGTCGCTTTCAACCAGAGTTGATCCAAAATCCCTTGGGTCCTTTGTTGAGTCTGAAACAGAAAAATTCTGTACAAGAATACAGAGAACAATTTGAATCGGCCCTTGCTTCTCAAGAATATTTGGACAAGAAGGTTATGAGAGGCATCTTCTTGAATGGATTAAAGAAGGATATCAAGGCTGAACTAAAGTTGTATAAGACCAAAGATCTTGCTAAAATCATGGAAAATGCACAGTTGATTGAGAATAAGAACGAGGAAATATTGTTCAGAAAGAATAAAGAAGAAGGAAAAAGAACATGGAAGAACACGGCATCTAAAGGAAGCAGTTATCAGAAATGGGAAGAAGGGATCAGAAGTAGCAGTAATCCAACTCCTACACAGTCTTCTGGAAATAAGAGTAATGATAACAAGAGTGGGGAGATTGGTGAAGGTTCTAACTCCGGAAAAATAGGCCCCAGTTTATCCCAAAAAGAATTGGTGGAAAGGAGTAAGAAGGGATTGTGTTTCAAGTGTGGGGACAACTGGAATAGAGGGCATGTATGCCAGATGAGAAATTTCAAAATGGTTTTGATTGAAAACTCTGAAGAAGAGGCAGAAACTGAAGAGGATTGCAGCAAGTCTGAAGAAGAAGAGGGGCCTCACCCTGAACTAAAATCAATGCAATTATCAGTGCTCAGTAAAGAAGGTATACCTTATATGAGAACTTTTAAAGTAATGGGGAAACTAAGTTAGTCAGACTTAGTCTGCAGGAGAGAAACCAGTAAACATTCTCATTGATTGTGGTGCTACCCACAATTTCATATCACAGAAATTGGTAGACAAGTATAAAATTCCTTACTATAAAATAAAAGGATATAAGGTCCAGACTGGGAATGGGGAGTTCATTTCCAATAGTGGCAGATGTTTGGGGCTGAAATTAGAAGTGCAAGGGAATGTAATACAACAAGTGTTTTACATCCTGGAGTTAGAAGGGACAGAACTAGTGCTTGGAATGGAATGGTTAACTCAATTGGGAGATACGGCTGTCAATTTCCAAAACCAGAACCTTATATGGAAGCAGGAGAGTCAGATTTGCTCAATCAAAGGGGATATAGCCCTAAATAGTATGGCAGTTTCTCTCACAATCATGGCACTGATTCTGCAACAAAATGGAGAAGAGAACCTGCTGAATTGTAAGGGACAAGAGCAAGAACATAACATGGAACAAAAGCTTTGTACAGGAGAGGAGGCTGTGAAGGAGTTCCCTGAAGTTTTCAAAGTCAGATTAGACTTCCCTCCAATCAAGGCTTATGATCATGCTATCCAGATCAAGGAAGAAGCTAACTCTATATTCTCAAGCACAAAATGTGGTTCAGTTCCAGGGTTGAATCACACTGGCAAAGAGGTTCAGGAAACATCAGTGAGTTGGAAAGATCAAGTATTGAAGCTTCTCTCTCAGAAATTAGTGAAATATTGGGGAGGCAGAAGCGCCAGGATGAAGAGGACGCAGAAGGTTACCTATCGCCCACCTTGAGGGCAAGGTGGTTGTTTAGGGGGGAGATTTGTTAGGGACCTACATAGAATAATAATAAATAGAATAAGTTTGTAATAATTGTCTTCTGTTATTAGCTATTAACTATAGCTAGTGGAGCTGTAGGTCTATAAATAGAATAAAACGGGTAAGAAGTGGGAGACGGTTATCTTTGGATGTATTGTTGCCTTGAGAGTCCCGGTTGCCTGAGAAGTCCCTGTACCCTACGGTTTACCCCTATATCATCAATAAACGTCTATTTCCATCTCTGTTCATCAGATCTGTGAGATTGGATTACTGTTTTTAGCTTTGATTTGTGTCTGTGTCTAACAACTAACCATGCTATCCAACAAATTTGCACAATAAGTTTATAAGTTTACAATATTGTGTCTATACAACTTTATGTCCTTATGGTGGGACCCTTCCCAGACTCTCGCCTTGCGGGGATGCCAATGTGCACCACACTTCCATTTCTAATACTGTCTAACTTTAACCTTTACCATATTGCTCCCAATTTTTTCATGATTATTCTTATATAGATCATTCCTGCAATCTTCAATAGAGGTTTGCTATATTTGAATCTTTGATATTGGATAATAGTCTTCTATGTTCGGTTTGAGTTTAGAAAATTAGTCAAAAAATACATAGATTTAGATTCCATAGCCTTATATAATAAAAACTAGTTTTTGTATCGCGCGTTGCACGAGTATGCTGGTGCCCAATGTTATTTATAATACATTAATATTTTGTCATTACTTTTTTATTTGTACAAAATCAAAACATAAATTGGAATTGGTATTTCAATTTATAATCTTTGATATTGGATAATAGTCTTCTATGGATAATCTTTGATAATTTTTATTTTTACAAGAACATAGTTCTTGTAAACTTGCAGTTTGCTTTTTTATAATCTATGGATATATGAAGTCTCACATTAGGAGGGAGCACATTCTAAAGCCAACAACATGTGACATTGTTTGAGAATTATTCAGAAGACTCCAACTGAAGCATCTGTTAGTTCCGGATGCTCTTTGAACAGAGCTAAATCGCCATATAAGGCAGTCTCAAGTACCTGATTAATGAAATGAAATCAATCATTTCTGGAATAAAACAATGACAATAAGTGACTATACTAATTAGCCAGGATAAAACAGAATGTCTGCTTGCTTGTGACTGTACAGATCTTATTCATGGGCTCCATTTAAAATTCGTATAATCCCTATAGATCAATCTTTTCCTTTCAGAAAAACTCTTCACCTAAAATAGTAACTAAAAACTTCATAAAACCTTAAATGAATCACACTTAGTGAGCATTTGATAGAAAATTAGCTTGTAATACAATCAAATACAGATAATAGCGAGCATTTGATAGAGAAATACACACTTTGTCTTAATAGTTTATATATAAATTATAAAGACGCATTACTTACTTCCTCACATCTGAAAAATAGACACACTGTCTTTCCCTTTTTCTCCCTTACTTGAGTTATAGTTTATTTTCCCAAATTACATAATATATTAACCATTTGTATGATCACATCTATATCAAAGCAAGCCCAGAAAATACAAAAACATTGCAGGCAAGAGGCAATTAATCTTTAAATTTCGCTATTGAAATGAATTAGAAGAGAGTCCAGTTTAATATTATCTTTATATTTAATTTAGGGTTTTAGTTAATTAGAAGAGGAGTCCAGTTTGATGTTATTTCTATATTTAATTTAGAGTTTTAGTTAGAATAGGACTTAATCATGCAAAGGCAGAATGCCTATTTATAATTCTTTTGAGGAATAATAATCATCATCAATCAATAGGAAAATCAGTCTCCTTACGGAGTAGAGAGAGGAGCGGCAATGGCATGGGGAAACCCTAGCCGCCGCCTCCTCTTTTTCTCTTCTTTTCTTCTCTTCTTTCAATCTTTTTTGATTTCAATAATAGAAAAACATCTTCTTAATCAGTGTTTTCAGTTTTATTCATCTGTTTCTTTCCCAAAGTTGTTTGGAGGTATTATTTTTGGTAGCGAAATATCATCTGCCAGATTCATATTCTCCGCCACTGTCGGTCAGGCGTTCTTGTGTGCTAAGAAGAGATTTGCACTGATCTCTTCATCAATCAAAAACATGATTTTCTTCTGCGCCAATATTGAGACGGATCACCCCGTCCTGAACCACCGCCATTCCAAGAAGATGAGAACATTTGGATTGCTTTCTTTTCGGTGGCTTGTGAAACCGGAACAAATTCTACAGTTGGCTCCTTACCGGTGGCTGGAGAAACCGGAATGTTTAGGAGTTCTTTTGATAATTATTGTGATCGTAGCAGGAGCTGTCAATCTGCAGGTAGAGTCTACTTCTTTGCGGGATTAGCGATTCGGCGTTTTCGATTAGAATCGTCCGTTTCTATGTCTCATTACATTGTAACCTTGAGCTTTATGATTGTAATGTTTCTTGTCATCGTCATTAATAATAATTAAGTTGTTTGTTTTAAAAAAAGGAAAATTAGTCTCCAGAAGTCACGGACTTCTCTGCACTCTTCCTGCCACCTCAAGCTATCCCTGGACCCGTTCTGATATAAAGCAGAAGCTGGGGCAGAATTCCCCATGGGTTTACTAAAGGCGGGGACGGGCTTGAGCCCACCTTCGTGGGCTGGCTCTAGTTATTTTAAATAATTAGTTTTATTATTCCTTATATTTTGTTTCCTAGTATGGATTATTTAGGACTTCTATTCTTATTAGAATTAGAGGTTTCCTATACTATTTAGTTTCCTAGAATGGTTTAATTAGGACTTCTATTCTTATTAGAATTAGAGGTTTCCTATCCTATCAAGATTCCTAGTATGATTTAATTAGGACTCCTATCATGTTTCTTACTAGGACTTCTAATTAGGACTTCTATTCGGACCAATTGATGTGAACGAAAATGAAAATCAATGGTAGAATCCGCTGCCCAAGCTAAATAGCTAAAATCCAATTTTATTAATGCCTGCTTTGAATAAGCCTAGGCAGGGGTTTATATAACCCTCACATCCAAATCTGAATAGGAAACTAAATCCTAGTAAGAAACATATTAGGAGTCCTAATTAAATCATATTGGGAACTAAATAGAATAGGAAACCTCTAATTCTAATAAGAATAGAAGTCCTAATTAAATCATTCTAGGAAACTAAATAGTATAGAAAACCTCTAATTCTAATAAGAATAGAAGTCCTAAATAAACCATACTAGGAAACAAAATATAAGGTGGGCTCAAGCCCGTCCCCGTCTTTAGTAAACCCATGGGGGCTTCTGCCCCAGCTTCTGCTTTATATCAATTTAGTTTCCTATTCAAATTTGGATGTAAGGGTTATATAAACCCCTGCCTAGACTTATTCAAAGCAGGCATTAATAATATTGGATTTTAGCTATTGAGCTTGGGCAACGGACTCTACCGTTGATTTTTATTTCCGTTCACATCAATTGGTTCGACCTGCCGGATCCCGTCCCGCCGGAATGACAAGATCAATCACTGAACGTTTGACAGAGATGGAGGCCGAGCAAGCCCTAACCAATCAGAAACTGGACGTGTAGGGAGCGAAGCTGGACACGCAAGGAATCCAAATGGCAGAGATCTCAGCCTCCTGGGCTGCGCTCACAAAGGCTATCGCGCTGCCAGGGGCGGATGAGCATCCATCGGCGGTGGCTTTACTGACGCAGCAGCAGCATCCTCATTCGGAACTGGACTGTGCAGCACCCTTCTCACGACGCTGCCCTCGTTTGACGAAGAAGACCTGATCGGCTGGGTTGATAGAGCTGAGCAACAGTTCAAACTGAACTGTACTCTACCGGAAAAGAAGGTGGCAGCCACTGTAGTAATGTAGTTGCGATGGAAGGGTCAGCCCTATACTTGTTGACCTGGTCATGGGCACAAAAGCTGGACATGTCATGGGATGAGCTTACACAGGCATTGGTGGCTCGTTTTGACACACAGTTTAGGGGAAATTGCTTTGAACAGCTGTCCGGAGTCAAGCAGACAGGGACTGTGGAGAGTACATCTCAATTTTTGTTCAACTAGCAAGTCAGGTCCCAGATAGCGGGCTATCTGCTGATCATTATTTAGGGTATTTCCAGAATGGGTGGAAAGGGCCAAATCGGGGATCCTTACGATTGCTGCAGCCAAACAGTCGGGAGATAGCAATAGAATTGGCCAGAGATATTGAGGACAATCTGTCCTTTCAAAGTGATGGCAGCATGAAGGGATCGAGTAGCAGTTTTCCTAAAGATACTGGGCAGCCCCCGGGGACAAATGTGAGCCAGCTTTTGGATATCAACCTTGAGGAGAAGGTTGTTTCGAAGGGGATGGAATTGATATAAAGCAGAAGCTGGGGCAGAAGCCCCCATCGGTTTACTAAAGGCGGGGACGGGCTTGAGCCCACCTTCGTGGGTTGGCTCTAGTTATTTTAATTAATTAGTTTTAATTATTCCTTATATTTTGTTTCCTAGTATGGTTTATTTAGGACTTCTATTCTTATTAGAATAAGAGGTTTCCTATACTATTTAGTTTCCTAGAATGGTTTAATTAGGACTTCTATTCTTATTAGAATTAGAGGTTTCCTATTCTATATAGTTTCCTAGTATGATTTAATTAGGACTCCTATTATGTTTCTTACTAAGATTTAGTTTCCTATTCAGATTTGGATGTAAGGGTTATATAAACCCCTGTCTAGGCTTATTCAAAGAAGGCATTAATAATATTGAATTTTAGCTATTTCGCTTGGGCAACGGATTCTACCGTTGATTTTTATTTCCGTTCACATCACGTTCTCAGTCCCAGAACCCTAACAAAAATATAATGTTTTTGTGCAAATATCTAAAGTTGATGTATTGAGTTTGAACCTTTTTCCCCCACATTTTTCTTTTTATCCAAATTCCCATCCTATTTTTTTCTGAGCACTTCACCAAACAGACTCTATAAGCTATGAGAAAGATGAAAGAAATTACCATAGCCAAGAAAAGTCTTCTGAGTTAATAGAATGACATGCCCTCTTTCCATATCATAGTGTACTGTACTACTGTTCCTCTATACCGCGGTTCTTGTTACCAAAAATTGTGGCACGAACAATCACCATCCTCAAAGTGATGGAAACGGTAGGCATCCCTGACAACAATGGCCCGATTTTCAACCTTAGACACACACTTAATCCAGCTGTGGCAGTCATTACAGACACGAAGGTTCTTCATGACACATAAGGGAATGTTGGCTGACAAGTTTAGAAGCCCAAATGCAATAGCTAATTTCTCACTGTGTACAAATGCAGTGGGGTCCTTCTGCTCCACCTCCAAACCATTCCAAAGACTGTTACTGTCTTGTACATAACCCACTCCGGCCACATGTTCATTCAGTTCCACCACATATCTATGTATCTCATCTGCCATTGGATGAAGCCTATCACCAACGAAGAATGCATGAATTGTGTTTTTCACTTCGACCCAACTTTGGCCTGGCTCTTTCTTAACTCCCATGTCTTTCATTAGCTCCCTTATGGAATTTCTGTAATCCCATCTCCCGACAACTGCATATAAGTTTGATAGAAGGACGTAAGTTGCAGAAGCTTTGGGCTCCAATTCCAAGAGGTGGTCTCCAGCGAGTTCGCCAATCTCGATGTTCTTGTGAACAGTGCAAGCGCTCAGCAAGGTCCTCCAAACCATTGCATCAGGTGGGACAGGCATGGTCTCCACAAACTCTCTTGCACGCTGAAGTTGACCGGCCCGGCCCATAATATCAACAACACATGCATAATGCTCCGGTTTTGGTTCTAAACCATGATCTTCATTCATGGATTTGAAGTAACTCAGCCCCTTCTCCACCAGCCTTATGTGACTGCAGGCTGACAAAACTCCCACAAAGGTAACATGGTTGGATTCCACCCCCGCCATTTTCATTTCCTCAAAGAGTTGAATTGCTTCATTGCCAAGACCATGTTGGGAGTAGCCAGTGATCATGGCATTCCATGACACTTGATTTCTGCAATGCATTTCTAGAAACTCTCTCTTAGCATCACCGAGATTCCCACATTTTGAATACATTGTGATTAACACATTGGAAGATTCTATTTCGGAGTCATAATAACCAGTTTTTACCATCCTAGCATGAATCTGCTTTCCTTGTTTGATATTTGTCATATTAGCAGCTGCACTAACAGCGGGCCCATATGTATACATATTAGCTTCAACTCCATAGTGATTCATTCTTGAGAAAACTTTTAATGCTTCCTCATAGTACCCACTCTGGGCAAATCCAGATACCAGCCCATTCCATGAAATATTGTCTTTAGAACCAATCTTGTTAAACACCATGTAGGCATCTTGCACCTTACCACATCTAGCATATAGACAAACAAGTGCATTTCCGATTGATAGATCATATGTGTATCCAGAGATGACCGATTGAGCATGGATTTGTCTTCCTGGATTGAGTGCTTGAATTCCAGCACATGCAGTTGTTGCACTGGCAAACCCAATATTGTCTGATTGAATACAACGGTCCTGCATTTGGTAAAAAAGCCTTATTGCTTCAACAAACTGATCGTGCTGAGTATATCCAGCAATCATAGATGTCCAAGAGACAACGTCTTCCTCATTATCAAGATTCTTAAAGATTTCGCTTGCGGCATCCAATCTTCCATGCTTGGAATACATATCAATAAGAACACTACAAACATAAACATTTGGTTGAAACCCAGTTTTGATGACTTGACTATGTATTTGCTCACCTAGGTCTATATCACCCACAGATGTACAAGTTCTCAATATGCTAGGATAAGTGTACTGATTAGGTTGCAGACCTAGCGCCTGCAATTGGGAAAAGAGGTGAAAGGATTCTTTCAAGTCACCCTTCTGTCCGAAAGCCACTAGCATAACATTCCACAAAACAATGTTTTCCTTATTGGTTGTTTGGAAAAAGTCATGTGCAGTTTCGATATCTGAACATTTCACATATAGATCCAATATTGATCCTTCGATAACAGTATCTGAACATAGGCCCACCTTTGTTGCATATGAGTGTAGTTGTTGTCCCTTTTGAAGATCCCCAGATGATGAACACACACTCAAGAGGCTTGAAATTGTAACACAGTCTGCCTTCATGGAATCCATTTGCATTTTATCAAACAGTTTGAGTGCCCTATGATTAAGCCCTTGTAGGGAAAAGCCTGAGATTAGTGTGTTATAAGAGACTCTATCCCTGATATTCATTTCAGAAAATATATAATCTGCAGATATCAAGTCTCCACAACGAGAGTATAACGATAAAAGAGCATTCCCCACATAGACATCACATAAGTATCCCCACTTCAAGATTACAGAATGGAACTGTTCTCCAAGTTCATGAAAGGATAACTTCGTAGTGGCACTTAGAACACTTGAAAAAACATATGGAGTAGGCATCACTCCCAATCTACGCATATCATTATAGAGAAAAACAGTGTCTTTTTCATGACCATTCTGACATAAGCCGGACATGATGGCAACCCATGAGGCACTGTCCCGGGAATGAAGATCCTCAAATACCTTTTTTGCAGAATCTACCAAACAGTTCCTAGAGTACAAATCAATCAGGAAATTGCAAACAATGCAATTCCCAGCAAAACCATATTGTACAATCAGAGCATGGATCTGTTTAATGGCATGAACATGAGATGCAATCTCAGGAGCACCACAAGCTCTTAGAACAGTGGTGAATGTACTCCTGTCTGGACAGGCACTTTCATTCATCATCCGCGAAAACATATAAAAAATCCTTACATCTTTCTTACACCCCGATATCAACTTATTCCACAGAGAAACATTTGAACTCCATGAAGGAGTGTTATGAAGAGTTTGTAATGCGCCAGCCAAATCATCACTGGACATATACAAATAAAAAAGGCGGGTTCCAATAGTCGTATCGCCGGCCAACCCCAATTTCAGGAATCTTCCTTGGAGCTTTTTAGCGTCTGAGACCGATCCACTTCTGGTACAACTATCTAGTGAGCTCAAACAAGAGCTATGGTCAACATGGCCTGTACTTTTTTCAACACAATGAATAGGACCTAAAAAACTATTAGCTTCATAGTCTTCATCTGCGAAAACATCAAGAATCTGGGAAGTTGCACTAGCCGTACTAGTAAAAAGGGCCAACTTCACCAACTCGAATGATTTCAAACAAGTGGAATGCGTTTCCTGCTGCAGTCCATAAATTTTTTGAAATTAAAAAAACGCAAGAAATCATTTAACACTGAGGGAGGCGAAACATATATGGAAATGCCGTTACCTTGAAGCAATTTGCAGACGGCCTGATAAGGGGATGAATGGATCCACCAAGTATCCTACCTAGCATAATAAACAACCAAAAAATTACTGTATCTCGAGTACTACACAAATTTCGAATACAGTTACTGTTTCTCCTGAATTCTGCCCACAGCACAAAGAAATTGAGCAATGGGTTTAAGTGAGGTTTTGGTTGTGGACTTTTGGAAGGCTGGAACTGCCAACAGGTGATGTGGAGCGGGCGATATGCACTCTCCACAAATCCCATTTGGGGCATTGTCCATTTGTATTTTGTGCAAGAATGCTCGACTTGGAGACTTGGAGTGATTACCCTTTGAATGACGATTAGAAGTTACTACCTCCTCCCAAAACAATTGAACATTAATTTTGAGGAATAATGGATCGTAATAATCTCAAATATTGACCTTCCGCTTACAATGATCCCAACTATCGATTATCTCAAAATAATCTCAACTTTACTGAACTTCCGCCAATAATGATCCGACATGACCGACTATAAAAAATGTGTACTCAAAATTCTAGGCATTTCTTCGTCAAGAAAAATGCACGGGTAATATTTATGGGATACATCAAAGAAAGTTATTTAAAAAATGTGTACTCAAAATTCTAGGCATTTCTTCGTCATGAATATAAAAGTCTTAAAAATGTGTACTCAAAATAACTATTATAGTCTTATTTTCCAATTTTGGGAGTAATTATTACTCTTATTTTGAAAATAAAAACATTATAATCATGTTTTGAAATTTTCAAACATTTTTACTCATTTCTCTCTAGAGATGGAGAAACCCTAGCGACCGTCTCCTCTCTTTGTAGGGGTTGAGATTTTCCGCCGGCCCTATCAATATGGGGTTGGAGCGTCAGATTATACTACTTTTAAGCGTTCTAATGCTTGGAATTGCAACTATGTCAGAGAAGATAGCGTTGGCGGATGAACGAGGTGCGGCTTTGAGGTTGTATCAAAGCGGGATCATGAAGCTTTGGTCGGCCATTCCGACGGTGGTGGAGTTTGTATTCATCCATATGGTAAGAGCTCGTCCTCCTCCGGAACCACCTCCATACCAAAAAGAGCTTTGTGGAAGGATCTTATTTCAATATTATTTTCTCTTTAGTAGCACTTGTTTCTGTTTTAGTACGAGTAGATTTGGTTTGAATGTTTGGATTCTTGGAGTTCTTTTGATAGGCAGAGTTTTGGTTCCGATCATTTTAGACCTAAATTTGCCCGTTTCAGGTTTAGCGAGTCATGTTGCTTTGTATGAGGTGGCTGAGTCTAAGTCTACTCCTAGGGTTCACGATTGGATCTATAATTTCTGTCTGAAGGTTGTCCTGTGTTTGTTCTCGATTTTAATATAACGGCCGCTTTTTTATGATAAAAAAACATTTTTACTCCTATTTTGAGAGTTTTCCCATATTTCAATTATGATTTTCTATTGGTTTTGTGTGAATCTCAATTAGGAACATCCCGCTTATGGTTTAGTTTTTATTGTCATAATTTGTGAACATATTTGATAAAGAAAATTTCAAAACACTACAAAAAAAATCATAAATGAAATATTTTAATAATATAGCATCAAACTTCAATCTCGAGGGACGAGGCATCCGTGAAAAGACCCGTAAATAGCGTCTAGCGGATCCTAGCTACGAACTTGAGAGACGAGTTGAGCTAGATTATTAATTTATTATCATTATTTTTAAAATAGTGTGTATTTTTTGACATTGAAAAAACGGACTTATGAATTCCGAGCACTCGCGTACACCGGGCGAGCACACACACTCGCGCCACCGGGTCACGTCAAACGAGTGTGGATAGTGAGCACTCAATCCAAATGTTGTCAAATGCATACTCTAGTTTCTATGGTATGTATGAGTTATGTGTGCCCTTAACTATCGGATTCAAACTGCGATCCCCCAGCGGGTGTAGGTTTAGTCCTTTACGCGTGCCACGCTCCAACTAAGCATAGAAACCTGACTTGAGCTCTGGCTTGGAAATTTGAGGCCACTTAATTTAGGCCCAAATCCAATAGCAAATCATAAGCTCAAGAAATTATAACAATTTTATTTGAATGCATAGGTGCAACTATATGATGACATCATACCGGCCACTTAGCCGTCTCTCCTGGTCATCTTTATTTGATGGCTTAGACTTCTTATAGGCCTCTCGGCCACACGTCTCGGTCACTTTATTTGATGACCCGGACATCATATTATGGATGGTCACTCGACCCATCTCTTAGTCATCTTTATTTGATGACTATGATTACCTATCATGCCGAGCTACGCACATACGAGGATCGATCTTGGCCATCCCCTTAGCAGATGCCGACGGTTGCAGTTCCACACCCAGGCCGAAGGGTTCACCCCTTTTGCTTCATTTTGGGGGCATCCGGTGTACTCTTTTTCCCTCATTAGGATTTTTTCCCACAGGTTTTTTTCCTAATGAGGTTTTTAACGAGGCATCTCCCCAACGTGGACAAAAGGTGTCGACCCTCGGTCCCTATTGAAGACATCACGAGACATGCACTACTCTACTCCTCTTCACCTCACTACATTCACCTCAAGAAGTGGGGGACTGGAAGAGCGAGGGACTTAGCGCCTCAAAATTTTCACGAAATTTACTCACCAGATGACGACATATCAGCACACAATTCTACTCCCTTTCGCCTTGAGTACTCTTGACTCAGGGAGTGGGGACTCCTGATAGAGTATATAGACTCGGACCCCCGGGTCTCACGACTATTGGGCCCGGACAGCGGCCCACTCACGCTTGTCGGATGTCATTTATATCATTTGTATTATTGTAGAGTTCATATATCATTTGTATGTACTAGATTAGCCTTTTATGTAGTTGGGCCTATTGGGCTCATATTAACGGTCCGACTCATTATTTCTCTATTTATACTCCTCTTGGAGCCACTTGTAACCCTAGAATCAATACTATACTTCCAATACACTTCATCTTCTTCTCCATTCATAGTTCAAATCTCTCCATTTATTATATAGTTTGGATCCCTATAATCCATCAATCATTTTTCGTCGAATGTTATTAGTTTTTTTATTTCTTTTTCTTATGTGTTTTCTAGTCATTGCTAATAGGCGGTGAACTTTGAAAGTATCTTATTGGACATATCATTTTGAATCAGTCATTTAAAGGCCAAATATTCTGAATGAGTTGCTAAGATTTATGCTTCTCGTGCATGACTAGCGATCCAACTCGTTCATTTATGGTTGATTGTTTCTATATCTGATCCGGGATAATTGTTTGATCTATTTCTATTCCAATACAGGTGATTCTTTTCCAAGGAGTAATAGCATATAATTCATCCCTCTTACTCAACATTGCATACTTTCATTTGAGTAGATAATAGAAAAACAAGCAGAATCACAAAGTTATTACTTTAAAAGGATGGCAAGATTTTTGAGATCAACAAAAATAGAAAATTGGCAAAGTTCAATGGTACGAAGAGAGTGACGGTTAAGAGCACTATCGGGGGAGATATCCAATGCATGCCATAGTCTAATCTAGGATGTTTTTACTTGGACTGATTTGATTTGCTCAGGTCTGATCTGATCTGATCTGGTTTGGTCTGGTTTCATCCGCATGACGAAGAAAAAAACATAGGGGTGAGACAGGTGTTGTAGCTCAATCGGGTAAGCACTCACCCCAAGTCTATCATTCGACCGTTCCACACTCCCACTTTCCATTCCACCTGTAACATGTACGGAGTATTTTTAAGCGGATCCTGAAAATGTGCCCGATTTCTATGTTGGGATAAACGGCGTACATCTCCATCGCTCACTCCATTGAGTGGCTCGATTTCTTAAATTCCACTCCAGGTGAAGGCTACCATTCACATACTCGTCGCCCTGATAGGTGAGATCTTCTTGTATTCGCTTCTGAGTTCTTGCCAATTCGAATGATATTTTATTTTAGTTCATTTTTTCTCCAACTTGAAATGTCAATTTTTAAATATCACATTACGTCAGGAGGTCGTGATTATGATGAGTTCACTCTTCTATTATTTGAGCAGGGAAGGTTATCTGTTACATTAATAGAGTGTGTGCTCGAGAAGAGGGTTCCTCGGAATATAATAATGTTAGGGAATTCACTAATCAATGTTTCGACAAATTCTACCATGTTGCGTATACTTCCCAGTAGGCCAAATGGTCAGGTGAATTTATTGCCATCCTTAAGAACTCCAGCAATGCCCAAAAGCAGAGTCTTTAGCGTAATAGCAATGTCTGCAGAAACGGGTCATAGTCAGGAGCAGATACAAGAACAGCCTGGGCCGACTACTGAACGCAAAAATATATTCTCTGTTGTTTTGGATGTGCCGAGGAACATCTGGAGACAGACTCTTCGGCCATTGGGTGATTTTGGGTTTGGGAGAAGGAGCATTTGGGAAGGAGGGGTAGGGTTGTTTCTGGTTTCTGGTGCGGTTTTGTTGGCACTTAGCTTGGCCTGGTTGAGAGGGTTTCAATTGCGCTCAAAGTTTAGGAAATATTTGGCTGTTTTTGAGTTTGAGCATGCTTCCGGCATCTGTACAGGCACACCTGTCAGGATTAGAGGGGTGAATGTTGGCAATGTAATACGGGTTAACCCATCTTTGAGAAACATTGAAGCTGTGGTTGAGGTGTGCTAACTACTAAACTCTTGAGTACCCGTTTGGTAGCCATATTTTCTGCTCAGTTGCCATTTTTTAAAACCCAACACTAACTTATTTCCCCGTGTTGGCGAACTGGCTAATTATAATAATATAAAAAGCAGTGTAGAAGTTTTATCTTTTTGCCAAAAAAAATGAAAGTGTCACTTAAACCTTCATATCTGGATATTTATATTAATTACTTTAAAAAAGTTACTACTTCAGGCAATCAACATATTCCACCATTTGAGCAATTCAGCAGATTCAGATGTTTTAGGCCTTACCAAACGGGCTCTAAATTACTGTTGTTGACTAGTATTGGGTGTGGATATCATTATTATTTGGAAGAAAAACATCTTCTGTAGGTCGAAGATGACAAGATAATTATACCTCAGAATTCAGCGGTTGAGGTGAACCAGTCTGGCCTTCTAATGGAAACCATGATTGATATCACTCCTATAGACCCAATTCCAATTCCTACAGTAGGACCTCTTGATCAAGATTGTTTAAGAGAAGGTTTAATTGTGTGTGACAGACAAAAGATAAAGGGAAAACAAGGGGTAAGTTTAGATGCTTTGGTTGGTATATTCACCCGCATTGGTCGTGAAGTGGAAGAAATTGGTGTTGCAAATACATTTTCCTTGGCTGAAAGAGTTGCATATGCCATTGAGGAGGCTCGTCCTTTGCTTGCCAAGGTATAAGGTGCATTCTGCTTTAAGTTTACCTCATTATAGTTCTTTTGTTCTGTAACTTAGGTGACAACTGTGTAGCGATTGGGAAAAGACTTCATTCTTTACTTTCATTCGGTAAATCTTAATTTTAAAAGGATAGCTTATCAAGAGTACCTCTCAGTTTGAGGCTTTGGAACATTAATTTCTACTTTTGTACGAAGTATGCACGGTAAAATACGATCCAAACATCTAAGGACGTGTTTACTTCGCTGCTAAAGTCACAATTAGGTTAGTTAGTAAGACAGGTGAATTAAACACGCATGCCGCTTAAAAAGCTGCTTACTAACCGAAATAGGTGCTTAAAGTGTCGTTTACTAAGCATACCACCCCATGTATTAATTAAGCGGTATTTTAAGCTTTTTCAGTTTCCGAATTTACCCCTTGCCCTTACCCCCTTACCATTACCCCTATCCTACCCCTACCTCTACGCAACCATACCTTACCCCTACCCCCACCCCACTCTCCGTACCGCTACCCCTTCCCCTATCCTCGCCACCTTTACCCTTACCCCTTACCCATCCCCCTAAACCCTACCCCCACCCTACCCCAATCCTTGCCACCCCCCTGCACGACCCCTTACCACCCTACCCCGACCATACCCCTAACCCCACTCCCACCCCCCATGGTTAGGGAAGGGTAGGGGTAGAGGTTGGGGGCAGGGGTAGGGAGGGTTAGGGGTGGAGGATATGGGTACGCGTGCCGGGTGGCCCCTCACATATTATATTATATACTTGTGTACATCAATGTTTGTGTGTCTATATATGTATAGGGTTATTTTGGACATTTTAATGTTAAACGGTGTTTTAAATCCTATGAAGTAAACATGATCTTATAGCACTGTTTATTTTACGCACCGCTTATTAACGCAAGTCTTAATAAGCACCGCTTAGTAATCTGTGAAGTAAACATGTCCTAAGTGTGCAAAAAAGATTAATAATCGAGAGAGCTTCTTGATCTCGAGGGCTTTGGATGCTTATTTTGTATTTTAATACAAAGCGTGCAGGATAAAATAGGAGCAAAACAACACATTTCAACTATTTCTCATCACGATTGTTAGGCCATGTGTTAGGCCAAAATGAGAGTTAGATCTCTCCATGTGTTAGGCCAAAAGTGACTTGAATATATACACAATATGTTTTCTTTGCCAGTCATCTAGTAAACCCAATCTCGCTGCTGCCCAACTTTGCCTCTCCAAATGTACAACTTTCCCGAGGATATCCAAGTTTCAAATACATTTTCATTTATCAAGTAAATAAACCTAATCATGCCCCATTACATGTTTAAGTTAAGTGCTTTTTAAAATTTCTGTAAAGGGACAACATGGTGCACATTGGCGTCCCTGCAAAGTGATGGTTCGGGAAAGGGTCCTACCATGATAGAACTCATGCAGGTATATAGTGAATTCATAGTAAGAAATTAGAATTCATGAAACAATCCAAGCTCTCATTAATGGTGGAAATGTACCGGAAGTTTACAACAAACGAGATACCAATATCTCAATCTCTCCCAGCTCTAACTGAAAAACAGCCTCCTCCTTATTCCTTACTTCCTTCTATTTATACTACTATTATTATTAATAACCATATTCTACATGGATTCCTCTTATCGTCTTATTAACATCATAAATCTATCCAGGTTCCTATCAACACTCCCCCCTTGGACAACCACCCTGTCCTCAAGGTGGGTGATAGGAAACAACCATGATCTTCAGCTTCTTCTTCATCCTTACGCCTCTCCCTTCCCAGTACATGATTGATTGTTGTACTAATATCACAAACATTTCAGCAGCAGAAGAGATATCTAGTGAAGTTTCATTCGCTTCAGTAACTTTCCAGCACTCAATACAACAAATGTCTTTACTTTTCTGCGCCTCCTCATAGTTTCTCTCATCTGAACCTAATACTGTACTAGATACAAACTTCTCTCTGTACCTTTCAACTTCTTCCTCTTTCAATTCTTTGTCTACCTGTTGAAGTATTTGTCCCACACCGGAAAGCTATAAAATAATAAAACACTATATAAGGCTTTGGGCTACTCGTCCTATCAAGGTTGACCTTTTAGGATGGAACCCCAAATCTTAACACTACCTCATATGAGAAGGAAGGCATAAAAGGCTTTAGCAAGCAAGCAAGGAGATATACTATACCAGCAGCAATTCTCCTAACTATGGAACAGGAAAGTCCATCTTCCATGTAAAACCTCCAAAATTGGGTTTCTTGCGGGTAAGCATTTCCTTCACCAGAAAGAGACATGGCATTTTCAAGCCTTGCTTCAATTTTACGTTTTCATTGGCTTCAATATAGGGAATACTCTCAATTTGATCCCAAACTTTGTAAAAACGTTCAATTGAGTCTATTTGCAGGTTACTTGACATGTCAGCATGTCACCCACTTACGTGGCACATACGTGGCGTTCCAGCGTGCGCCACATCATCAGCAAATGGTTTGACTAGACTTCCACCTCTGCACCATGTCAGCAAAGCCACTGCTGATTGGGCTGCCACATGTGTGCAAAAGAACAAAAGAAACTGATGAATCACACTTCTCTTTGCATCCAACAATCCCAATTATATTCTCTTGCACCTCTTCAAGCAAAGCATCTTTTGGAGGTGAGTTGGAATCTGAATCCTCGTTTTCATACCTTCCGGATCTTCTAGTGGATATCCCATAGGTTGAATAATACCATAGCTCGTATCCTGTTCCAGATCTGAAGATGTGGCCATCTTAAACAGTTCAACTCAGTGTTCTTTGCCAACAGTGGAGTGCCCTGCAATCCCTCTCTTAGTCTCTTGATTCGACTAGGTTTATGGCTCTTGAAACTGATGACACCAAAAGAGGGTTCATGGTAGAACCAAATTCCTTTTTGAGGCTTGCTCTCTCTGTGCATCTTGTGAGGCTTGCTCCTCTAGTTTTAGTTTATCATCATTGTGAGCATTCATAACGGCATCATGATCCACTACACTATGAATCACATTTGCATAAAAAAGACTCGGCAAGATACTACTTTTTGGAAAAAGGGGCAAATAAGCCCACGTACTAACCGAAAAAGGTCAAATAAGCCCTTATATAGGAGGTTATGTTCGGCCGTTGTCTTTTGGGGAGGTTCCTGGTGGAAATTTTTGATGCAATTTTTTGAACATATTATTCATTAAGTCTAGTTTACTCATACCAAATTTCAGCTAAAACTTCAATCGGGAAGACATTCAAATGAATTCTTGAAGATAACTGCGCAGTTAAAAGCGCAGTTATCTTCAAGAATTTATTTGAATGCCTTCCCAATTGATTTGTTAGCTGAAATGTGGTATGAGTAAACTAGACTTAATGAATAAGATTCTCAAAAAAAATTATCAAAAAATTTCACCGGGAACTGCCCCAAATGATGACGGTCGGACAGAGCCTTCCATATAAGGGCTTATTTGACCTTTTTTGGTTAGTACATGGGCTTATTTGCCCCTTTTTCCCTACTTTTTCCCTCTACCTCACCTTTGATGTTATAAGCTTTCTCCTTCTCATTGCCATTGCTTCCTCAGCCGTTTTCTTTTCCCACTGCAGTGTTCTGATATGCTGTCTTTGTTTGAGTATATGTAGCCACTTCCTGATCAGAGTGTTGAGGCCCAGTAATATTTATATCCTCATTTAAGTGAGCCATTTTCCCCATCCTCATCTCTTTTCTTGAGTATGTTGATCCATTTACTAGTAATAGCCATATGAAACAGGTAGTTAATACCTACAGCTCCCTCTTGAACAGGTATACAAACTGCTGGCAACCCCCTAACATCTTTACCAACGATTATGGCATTGGGGAAGAGACCAGGAATGTGATCATAACAACGCATCTGATATATGCCAGCATCAATATCAGTAACATATCCAACATATTCCTTATAATTCCCAGTAAATCTTACCCCCAACCCATGGTGAGTACTCATCCTAGAAGTAACACCGTCTAATCTGAAACCATCAATACCACTAGCTCCTCTATTAGACCCAAGTTGTATATAATGAAATGATCCTGAGCCCATTGGGATAACCAAATTAGGGTACTTTTCTGGTGTCTTTTGTACATACCTGCCAGCATCAGATTCAATCAATGATTTCTCAGAAGGTATTTGTAACGATACCTTCCAGTCAAATACAACCCCTGGAGCTGGATGACTGGAAGGTATCGTTACAGAAGGGTGTACAGGGAGCAAGCCTTTCCTTGTCAATTTCTACAAGAGGCTGCTCCCAAGACTTGAACAAATGATGTCTTGGCCACATAACAACTTAAAATTTGCTTAAAATTTGTGTATTGAAAAAGTTATTTACTAATGCTAAATTAAATTCTCTATCCCATTTATTTTGTGTTGGCACAGTTTTGTGGAAGTGGAAATTCTGTAGTCGAAGTGTTTTTTAGAAGAAAGAAAAACACTATCTACCTAATTAAAACGATAGCAAAGATAATCTTGGAACTGGCGGAAATGAAAGAATAAAGATAATAAGGTATGCCAAAAAGAATGTTAAATGTCTTTAGTCAAATTGCCAAACCATGCTATCTTTAAAGTGGTTAAATAAATGGGACAAATGGATTAGTTTTTGAAATGTTATTATTCCAGCAACCACCACCACCACCAGTCCACCACCACCACCTGAATTACTACGCAGGGTTGGTGATTTGAAATTTAGTGTCAATTGATTGTCTAAAACTAGTTGAACATTAAACTCATGCATTATTGTATTCCCTATGTATGCATAAAATCGCTGTAAGTTATTGTTGTTTCTAGAACCAGTATTTTAATATATTTTGTTGTAGCGATACCCCAGATCAAAGCCATGGCTGAAGACGTTCAGCCTATGTTGAATGAAGTTCGTAATAGTGGCTTATTGAGTGAAGTTGAGAGTTTGACGAAAAGCTTGACGCAAGCTTCAGAAGACCTGAGGTAAAAATATGAATAATAGCTGTTGTTAAATCCTCTCCCTCCATCCCCACGTCAAGAGCATCACATGTTTACGGAAGAGTGTTATACTGGAATTCTTACTTTTTTGTATGTTTTATCTTATTAACATGTCACAACTTTTCATCTTTTCTATTTAAGGTTACCTTCTTGCCATATTAGGTAGCATTAAATTGGTTATATTCCTTCAAGTTCCTGTGAATCAGATTAATGTTTAAGTTTTTGCTCTGTTGCTCTTACTCTTTCCTGATCTGAAATTTTTACTTTTGAAGTTTAAAAGTTTTTGGGATTTTTTGTAGTCAAATACTGAAATGATATACCATTTAAATCGGAGTCATCCTGTTTTTAAGTTCTTAAAAAATGTTGTATGGGGGTTAAGGAAGCAAAATGAAAAAGTGCAGAGAAATGCAGTGCCTATTTAATGATCTCTTTTTACCAAACAGTAATTAATATGATTGTGTTTGCTGAACCGGTTGATAAGGAAGAAGGTATTATACTACTACGGATTATACTCTCTCTTTCATTGTTTGCTAATCTTTTTGGTATTTAATACAATCCGTATCTAGCTCAGAATACTAATATGATTGTATTTAATGATCTCTTTTATTAGGTATTATACACTTAATTTTATATACACTCTCTGGTTTTATTTATTTACATTTGTAGGGTTTTTCACAGAGTAAATAATACGGAGTAAATGTGAAGAATAGTGTAGGAAAATAAAATAAATAAATAAAAGAGAGTAGGTGAAAAGTAGGAAAGAGAAAGACAGAAAAGTTAAGAAATACTAGTATAAGGTCCAAAAAATCAAAAGTAAAGGTAAACGATGAAAGCTTGCCAGAAATGGAAATGGAACAAATAAAGTAAGAATGAATAACCACCCAAGCATTACCAAATATGGTATGAGACAAACTTAATGGGACGAACGAAAAAGTATAACCGGACAAAGTTAGGGGGATGGAGGGAGTAATTCTTTTGCATTGGCATACACATCTTATCTGTCCTTGTTTTTACCGATTAGCTCGTAGAACTTGAAATTGTTTTCTTTAAGGAAAGTGTATTTCTGGAAATCTGGAATTGCAATATTTATTGCCTCTTGAACTGCAGAGACATGCATACCACGGTAATGACCCCAGAGAATACAGAACTAATGAGGAAGTCTATATATACAATGGTTTTCACCTTGAAGAACATTGAGGTATATGTTGCTTGAATTATAATTTTCTTGTATTACTATGCAACCACTATTAATTAATTAAAATGGATCCATAACTTTACAGCGTATAAGCTCGGATGTTTTGGGATTCACTGGTGACGAAGCCACCAGACGGAATCTGAAATTGCTCATCAAGTCACTCAGCAGGCTATTGTGAAAACCCAAGATGCTTACTCGCGACACTTGATATCCAAATTGATTGAATGCAAACACCTTCTATGAACTTGACTACAATATATCCATCTGACATGGAGCCTCGTTTGGACATCTGTTGAAGGACCAGTTTTGGGATTTTTTAGGTAGAGTATGATCTGTTTTACCAGCAACTGTAGAAGATGAATATCGTCTTTTACTTATTCCCATCTCTGTGTTTTTCTCTGAAGCTTTTGTGATTATTCAGCTTTTGTGATTATTCACGCATTATTGTATTCAGATTACTGGCTGGGAATATACAAAATAGTTCAGATAATTCTGTTTCAAATTTCTACTTTCTTTGGATTTATTGAGATGATGAATGTGTTGTGAACTCTCTCTCTCTCTCTCTCTCTCTCTCTCTCTCTCTCTCTCACACACACACACACACACACACACACACACACACACACATATATATATATATTTGTTAATAAAAGCTCCTATAATATGTTTAAAGGTAAAAAAATTGATAGTCTAACCTAAAATCACTAATAATCTAAAATTTAATGAGATTATGAAAAAACAAACAATGAAAAATTTATACATTTTTCTAAGGGAAAATCGCATTTTTAGTCCTTGAATTAGTCACTATATTGAAATGTCAGACCTATGTTCCTCAGTTTGTAAATGTCACCCCTCAGTTGTCGAAATTGATGTAAATGTGGTCTTTAGAGGGGTGAAATGTACAATGTGGGCGAGGAGTACATTTCACCCCTCAAAGGACCACATTTACAACAATTTGGAAAATTGAGGGGTGACATTTACAATCTCACAAATACGGGTCTGACATTTCAATATGGTGACTATTTCAGCGACTAAAAGTGTGATTTTCCCTTTTTCTAAATAAAAACTTCATCAAAAATTGAGAAAAAGTTGTAGTCTAAATAGTTTAAATTGAAAAGTAATTTTAAATTATTTATTTTTATTATTACACAATTTAGTGTGCAAAATAAAAATCACATATTTAATAAATATGAGTAAATAATTAATAAGATTGATAAGTTGAAATTTGAGGCTACTAAACAGACTATAAATATTAGCCAGTACTTGTAAAACAACGCACCCTTTGTTTTAATCTTTACTAATGAAAATTATTTTATATAACTTTTTATGATAAAGATTGATCTAACATATATAAATAATACTCCCTTCGTCCCGGAAAATTCTTCTCACTTTGACTTAGATCGGAGTTTAATGGAAGTGATAAATGGAATTGACTTTCCATGTATACCCCTATACTGCAAGTACAAAAAGCAATATTTGATGTGATATCTGCAATCGAAGGGATATTTTCCTGCGCATAGGATACAATCCAAGTTGTTTTGGAAACCCCGCTTACAAAAAAACTTCCCTCCAAGATTTCCCTCCCCTTTTCCATCTATAAATACACTTTCTAAAAGAATAATTTAATACACACAGCACACACAACACACTAGGCTACATACGGACTACATTTATGGAAACCAACATAAATGATGCGCAGTCTTCTTCTTCCCCTTTTGCACCTTCCACAAATGAAGATTTGGCTTCATCTCCATTAACTACTTCTTCACCATCCATAAATGAAGACCTGCCTCCATCTTCATTAGGCTCTGCTGCAGATCTGCAAACAACACAACACCCAAACTCAAATATCAAAGCAAAAAGATTAGCAAACAATGAAAGAGAGAGCATAATAGATGAAATGCTAATCACTGCTAAAAGAGATATTTATGGGGCATTACTAGCTCAGAGAGGTGTGTTTTCTAAGCTAGCCACTAAATACTTAGTGACTAGAAGAACTATTTTCAACATTTGGAACACAACCAAAGAGCAAGTTGAAAAAGGGGAACCTATAGATGTACGTACAAAGTGGGTGGGAAACTCAGACAGAAAAAGAGTCATGTTTGATGTTAGTCATATTCTAGAAATTCCTCTCCATAAAAGGACCAACATAAGGGCACTTGCCTCTGCCTCATCAATGTCAAGGTCAACCATTCACAGACTGGTTCACAGAGGTATTCTCAGAAGTCGCACTAATGATATAAAGCTGATAGAGTATATCTAGAGAGAAGTGAGAGCTAGAGAGAGAAGTGCAATAATATGCTTCAATAGAATGAATTTGTAACCCCTATAACTACTCCCAAGGGGAGTATTTATAGAGAAAATTAGGGTTGGGCTCCCAAGTCTTGGGCTTGGGAGGCCCATCTACAACTGGACCGCTATTGGGCCGAATACAAAGCCACCGGTGGGCTATACAAATGAATAAGTGTAAAATCCGGTTCTGTGAGACTTCCGTGGCCGACGAGGGCATGGCCGATGAGGGCATGGCCGACGAGGTCACCCAGTTCTCCGGGCTTCTGGATCATATTCTGAGTAGACCTTTTCATGGCCGATGAGGGCATGGCCGACGAGGTCACCCAGTTCTCCGGGCTTCTGGATCATATTCTGAGTAGACCTTTTCCTGGCCGATGAGGGCATGGCCGATGAGGGCATGGCCGAAGAGGGGATGGCCGACGAGGTCACCTAGTTCTTCGGGCTTCTGGATCATATTCTGGGTGGCCTTCTTTCTGGCCGATGAGGGCATGGCTGATGAGAGCATGGCCGACGAGGTCACCCGGTGATCGTGGTACCTTCTGTTCTTCTGAGTATGTGGGTCCTGGGGCCTAGACCCATATACTCCATCAGGAGTCCCCCACTCTCTAAGCTGAGATGTAGACGAAGTGAAGGAGAGTAAACTTCTGTGCTTGATGCTCTTGGCCGATGCAGGACCACGTTGGTCGTTCCCTGTCGTGGTGTTTGGTGGCCCTATTCTGAGTTTGGCCATTACCCGTTTCTTGATGTGGATGAGGAAGGCTGTTACTCCTTTGGTGCGCTTGTTTGCGGACGATGCGTGTTCTGACATGAGTGGCCGACGAAGGTAGTGTCTACCCTTGGTCGTTGATGGTTTGAACTTCCCTTTTGGGCTGATGAAGCCATTGTGGTTATCTCTTGTTTGAAGACGACGAGTGTCCTTTGTTTCGAGGAAGATGAATGTCCTTCATTTTGAGGACGATGAGTGTCCTTCATTTTGAGGCCGATGAACGTCCTTCATTTTGAGGACGATGAATGTCCTTCATCTTGAGGACGATGAGGGTCCTGGACCAGAGGACGTTGTGCGCCCTTGGATCTGTGGACGAAGGATGTCATGCCCTTGTGTTTTTTACTTTAATTGATGGACCTTACGCTTGCGGACATTTGTGGCGCGTTCGTTTTGTTCGTGATATGGATGATGAATGTCATAGTCCCGGGGACGATGTGTGCCATTGGCCTTGAGGACGAGGAGTGTCCTTGGCTTTGAGGGCGACACGTGCCCTGCTTTGCGCTTCGGCCTGGCCGAAGGGTGAACACATGGTTGTTGGACGTTGAGGTGCCATTGTCATGGGCTTGTGTTCGTTGGATTTTGAATTTGTTTCTTTACGCTGGAGGCCGATGTAGTCCCCCAGACCTTCTTCTGGCCGATGGAGACATGGCCGACGGAGGTACCACTTGGTAGTCCTTGCTTTTTGTTGCTTTCTGGATGATTTCATGTATGTGGAGGCCGATGTAGTCCCCCAGTCCCCCACTCCTCGAGGCTCATGTAGTGAGGTGAAGAGGAGTAGAGCAATACACGTCTTCAATAGGGGGCCGAGGGTCGACACCTTTTTATCCACAATGGGGCGATGCCTCGTTAAAAACCTCATTAGGAAAAACCCTGTGGGAAAAAATCCTAATGAGGGAAAAAGAGCACACTGGATCCCCCAAAATGAACTCCAAGGGGTGAACCCTTCGGCCTAGGTGTGGAGCTGAAGCGGTGTCCGTCTGATGAGGGGATGTCCGCCTGGAGGTGAGGACGACGACGCTGATGAGCCGGTCCGAATATGAGGACGAGGCGATGGATGCCTGTCTGAATGTGAGGACGACAATGGTAATCATCCATGCGTCATATGAAGGCGACGGTCGCTGTCCAGGAAGGGAAATGCGAGCCCGGTCGCTATAACAGTACCTCGGCGTTGGGAGCCGGTCTCGAGATATGAGGACGACGGCACTGGGGGCCCGGTCCGAAATCCATGCAACGGTCGCCATCCGGTAAAGGAATGGCTAAGACCGGTCTTAAGATAGAGCATCACACCATGGCCGAGGGGCTGGTCGTGATGTGAAGACGACGGCGATGAGGAGCCGTTCCTTCAATCCATGCAACGGTCGCCATCCGATAAAGGAATGGCTAAGACCGGTCTTGACATAGATGATCACGCCAAGGCCGAGAGACCAGGCGTGACTTGAGGATGACGGCTATGATGAAGCTGATCCAAGTAAATGATGACGAGGCGTTGGTGAAGCCGTGCGTCATGTAGTGGCGATGGTCACCATCCAGGAAGGGATGGTGAGCCCGATCGCTGGCTCAAAACTCTCGGCGCTGAGGAAGCCGGTCTTGAGATAGATGATCACGCCTTGGCCGAGGGGTCGGGCATGATTTGAGGACGACGGTGCTGATGAAGCCGGTCCAAATAAATGATGACGAAGGCATTTGATGAAGCCGTTCGTCATGTAAACTCAAGGCTCTCGGTGCTGAGGATACCGGCCTTGAGATAGATAATCATGTTAAGGCCGAGGGGCCGTTCATTTTGAGGACGAGGGTCGCCATCCAGGAAGGGAATGGCGAGCCCGCTCGCTGGCCCAAGACGTTCGGCGTTGAGGAGGCCGGTGTTGAGACGAAGGATCACGTTGAGACCGGGGGGTCTGCCGTGATCTGAGGACGACGGCGCTGATGAAGCCGCTCCTCGTATGAAGGCGAGGGTCGCCATCCAGGAAGGGAATGGCGAGCCCGCTCGCTAGTTCAAGACGCTCGGCGCTGAGGAGGCCGGTCTTGAGATGAAGGATCACGTTGAGACCGGGGGGGGGGGGGGGGGGGGTCTGCCGTGATTTGAGGACGACGGCGCAGATGAAGCCGCTCCTCATATGAAGGCGAGGGTCGTCATCCAGGAAGGGAATGGCGAGCCCGCTCGCAAGCTCAAGACGCTCGGCGCTGAGGAGGCCGGTCTTGAGATGAAGGATCACGTTGAGACCGGGGGGTCTGCCGTGATCTGAGGACGACAGCGCTGATGAAGCCGCTCCTCGTATGAAGGCGAGGGTCGCCATCCAGGAAGGGAATGGCGAGCCCACTCGCAAGCTCAAGACACTCGGTGCTGAGGAGGCCGGTCTTGAGATGAAGGATCACGTTGAGACCGGGGGGTCTGCCGTGATCTGAGGACGACGACGCTGATGAAGCCGCTCCTCGTATGAAGGCG